AGGCAGAGTAGGCCTTATATTTATACCTCTGTGGTGGAACCTGCTAGAACATCTTGCTTACTCAGCCTAGTCAGGTGATCAGGTCATATGACCAAGGATGAGGTCATATGAGGTCATGCACAGCCATGCACAGCAGGTCACCTGACCATCCAATCCTTCCAGCAGGTTCCAGCACATGCCAAGGTATACCAGCTACTTCCATGTCATAAAGGCTTAGTCATGTCTCTTGACCAAGCAATGAGCTGGTGCCCTGACAATGTGACAAGACTAGGACCACTTCCCATAGTCACAACATGTTGATTCTCTTCTGCCATATGTGGTGGTACAAAGCTAGTGGAAAGATCAGCTCCAACCAGGAAGATGGGGTGGTATGCTTACATCTCAACTTTAAACTGCCCAGGCATCAAGGTAGTAGTGAACTGGTGCAAGTGTCTGATAGCACACTCTTCTGGATGGGGACGTGAGGAGTGTGGGCTGGGATATGCCTTGCTGAGTAGCAGGAAGAACTCTGACACCAGTTGCCCAGCAAGACCATCAAACGCCAGCTTGGTATATGATGGTGGATGGCTGGGGTAGATGTAAGAACCGAAAGGCTGCAGCAGGCCATATGGAGGTTCCTCAACATAGGAATGTGCTTGAACAAACCATGTCTGCATTTGGGACTGAAATGCAGAGGTGTGAAGGCCGATAGGTTGCCACGCTACTTTGGTTATCAAATGGAGCCATGCTGAGACACTGTTACTCACTGGCATGTGTGTCTCCTTGATCTTCATCTTCTGACCCTGAGTCTGCAGTGAATAGGCCATAAGTCAGGTGAACCACATCATCATTGGTCAGGTCGATGACCTCAAGGGATGGAGAGAAGAGCTGTGCACATATGCAATGCAGGAGGGGTGGAGATGGGGAGGAAAGGGGGCGGGATGCAGCATGGGTGGGGGAGATCCTACACTGGTAATCATCTATGACAGGAGCAGGGGTGGGAGATGATTGAGCCAGAAGGCATGTCGCATTATGGATAGGGTGATGATTGCCCACACCAGGAGTTGGGGTGGGAGTTTTGCATCCTGATGACAGGCACCAGGGGTTGAGGGTAGGGTGACAATTGTCTGCGCCAGCAAAGGGAGACATAGAGGCCTGGGCAGAAGAGGGCAGCATTGATTTGTGGATAGGGTGATGATCATCCACACTGGCAGCATGAGCTGGAGATGAGCAAGGGGGTGAGGAATGTGTGCTGTGAGTTGGAGGTGGGAGATGATCTCCTGCAACAGTGATCAGTCACAGGCTAGTGACTTGCAACCTGCCTGTTGATGGTTCCAATGAAGCTGGAAGTGCATTCTGTATTGGAGGCAGAGGGACTATACATGCCAAGAGTCCCAGGCAAGCATCATCCAAATGAGGTGAGTTTGGGTTGCAATGAGACAAATGGTGTAGACACCAATGTATGAAGCAAAGATGCCTACCAGGACCACAATCAACATGGTGTGGGAGGTAACCCAGCAGACCACCATATTGTGGAGCTAGTACAAATAAGCCAGTCCATTATGGGGTGATGGATACATCAAAAATCACATACCAACAAATACAAGGTAACCCTTGCCATAAGAGCTTGGGTCACCTGTTCTCCATGACCAATACCGGCTTTTGAGCTTGTCCTGTATGGGTGTTTCTGGCAGAACATGGATGATCTCATAGTTCCTGGGAGGATCATGCTGCTGAGCTGTGGGACAAACAAAGTCATATAGCTCAGGTCAAAAATGAGTGTGATTTGACTCAGTATCACCATTGCCAGAACTCATTGGCAGAGGAGGGAAGAACAAGCTATGTGCAGCCATGTGATTGAGTAGAGCACTGTTGAGCTGCACAAAGGTTTGAATCTCCAGATTGATCTGATAGAGAAGGCCGACCAGCTGGAAGCACTCCAAAAGGACATGGAGATGATCTTGATTGAGGCTGGCATAGGGCCTCATGCCGGAAGCATCAATGAGTGGGAATACTACAGGAATACCACCAAGCTGGTAGGAATAGTAATTAGTGGCCCAATTAAGCAAATATGTTCAGTAAAGACAAACTGGGCATGGGAGAATGACAGTGGAAATGGGTGATTGCTGTTGCAGTCAAGGAACAGGAGCAGAACGGTCATGCCTGCCTACCTGGACAGTGGGACCTTCTTCAGCTGTTGAAGGAAGTGCAGAACCTCATTGATTTTGCACAGAAGATGGCAAAAGGCCATTACTGGAGGTTGCACCTGCTCAAGGAGCTTGACTGTGTGTGCGGCAAGAGTGCAGGTGACATGCAGCAGCAGTGAGATGGTTGCTATTGCTGTTGCTACCTTCCTGATCCTGCAGCCTCTGGAGGAAAGTTGTATGTCTGGCCTGCAAACCTGGTAGAGATGGGAGGGACTGAGCTGGTGCAAAGACTGCTTGGGTAGGAGGAGGACAAAACAGGGAGGGGAGCACCACAATCAGATTCTGCAACATGTCAAAGCTCCTTTACAGGACAGAGTGACACTCTGAGGCAAAGATAGAGGGGATGGGAAAAGGAGGGAAGGGATGGTTGGGGGATCAGACCTTGCTGTCTGGGGGGTGTTAGATAGGGTTCTGTCCCATATGTTGCCTCATATCAATGCAGTTCAATGCAGCTGCATAAGGGAAACTAATTAGCCCAGGGAAAGGGCCTGGAAACCCTATCAGAAATATCAACTTGCATACAATCTCCAGCCTTGTACACTGCCTAATTGCTTACTTCAATTCTCCAAGGCTCCACAAAACGGTCATCAAAATACTGTCTATTAGTACATATCTTCAATCAAGTAGGAATCTGGCCAACTTTGCACCTCCACAAGGTTAGACAATGCAGCTGCAGCACAGTCCCTGCAGTTGGATGCAGCAATTCCTCCCACCCCCTTCGGAGACACTCACTCGGTTCCGTGAACAATTTCTTTCCCAACAGTTATATGATTCGACCACTGCTGTACAGGCAGTTACTCTCTCGCAATCACCTCTACGCGCATTCTTTCACCGCACCATTACTGTTCAGAAGCATGTCTGCTCAAGCGATGTTAGGAAACTTACCGCATGGGCTCCGGGAGGTCGTCGAGAAAGCTAGCGAGGGTGACAACTACTTCGGGAGAACAGAGAAGGATAAGGGAGAGGTTGTGGAGTGGACGACGAAGGTCTCTCAGGGAGCAGTGTCCAGTGGTGATGGATTGAAGGTGTGAGAGGCGACCTCATAGACGGACGACTTTGCTAAAGACTGTCCCACAGACTCTTGAATCAACGTTGACATCTCGGACGTTTTTGGTTGGCAACGAGCTCACAGCTGCAGATGTGGCAGTCTACGCCTCCCTCTATCCTATCCTGGTAAGCGGCATCATTTTGCCTGTAATTAACCATCTGATGCTCTTGAAGTCCAAGCGCACTCCTCAGGAGTACTACTCTCAACCCTCCATCACCCGGTACTTCGACCACCTTCAACATCTCTCGTCCGTCGCGGCTGCTTCCAAGGCTGCTAACCTCAGCCCTGTAACCTTCGACCTGGACCATATGCCTCCATTGGAGCGCGCTGCAGCCCCTGTGAAGGAGAAGAAGCCCAAAGCCCCTGCTGCATCTGAGCAGCCGCCGGTAGAGGTCGCACCCCAAGCACCAGCCGCCCAGGCAAAAGAGAGCCAGCCGGCAGAAGAGGGGGAGAAGACGGGAAAGGCGGATAAGAAAGATAAGAAGAAGAAGGAGGCGAAGGAGGGCGCTGCTGCTGCGGGAGGGAAGGGCGGGAAGGCGCCTGCAGCTGCACCAGAGGATTCGGAACCTGCACCGAGCATGATCGATCTACGCGTGGGACACATTTTGAGTGGTGCGCCCCTCTACATGTTCAAAGGCGGCTTCATGTACTAATACCCCGGTTCAGTGAAGAGGCATCCGGATGCCGACAGCTTGTATGTCGAGCAGATTGATGTTGGCGAGCCCGAGCCTCGCACTGTTTGCTCTGGTCTTGTGCACTACATCCCCATCGAACAGGTCGAGAATCGGGATGTGATTGTCGTCGTGCGTCTAGCTTCCTTACGTCTACTTCTCTCCATCTGACTTGGACACCCGCAGTGTAACCTAAAACCCGTAACGATGCGTGGCGTCAAATCCTTCGCCATGCTTCTATGCGCCTCGTCCAAAGACGGGAAAGACGCAGGGATAGAGTTCGTCAACCCTCCACCAGGCTCCAAACCCGGCGACCGCATCTACTTCGAAGGAGACAAGTACGAGACTGCCCAGCCCCTGCCGCAGCTTAATCCTAAGAAGAAGATATTCGAGACTATCCAACCGGGGTTCACGACGCTCGATACGCTCGAGGCGGCGTGGGTTGACCCGGTGACGGGGAGTGTACATAAGATCAGGACGAAGGAGGGCGTGTGTAAGGCGGCCACGTTTGTGGGCGCTTCGCTGTCATAAATTAGACTGAACTTAGGTGAAATGACTCATGAATGCTGAATTTCTTGGCCCGCGTGCCGGTATCTCGAGCCAACGTCGAATTCCTTGTACTCCAGTGCTACATGTCTATTTTCAAGTTCTCCCAGCATCATCTCCCAGGCAACCAATCCGTAGCTCGAGGGCTCACAGGTCCAAGCCCAACTTCAGATCCTTAATCTTCACAAACTCCCCCGTCGTCATACTCTCATTCGCGGCCAAGCCAACAGCCAGCGCCGCCGTCCCATCTCTCTCCGTCGCAGCCTGCTTACTCGCGTCTCCCTCATCGACGCTCTCCCCCGGCCTAGGACCAAAGAGAACGTTCAGCATCCTCTTATCACCCCCTCCGTGGCTGCCGTGCTCAGCGACAATAGGAAGTTCCCTAGCCGGCTCCCACAGTGGATGGAGGGTGACCCTGCTCGGTCCTGGGTTCGGGAGCGGGGAAGTGCCGTGCACTGCTCCCCCCGACGTTGCTGGGCCCTGCCTGAGCCGATGTGTCTGTAGCAAAAGGGGAAGGGGGGACGTACGGTCAGCGGAGACCCAGGGGTTGAACGACGGGGAAGGACGTACACTTTCGACCACTTCGAGCTCTAGCCGGCCTTTGGTGCCGTTGAACATTACCCGATAGCCTTCCCAAGGGGAGTACGCGGTCTGCTCATGCTCAGCGGAAAAAGGGAGAGGGAGGAGGCACGCACGAGATGGTACGACATCACAGCGCCGTTGTCGTACCGCACCAGCAGGCCAATATCGTCTTCTATCGTAATCCCCGGTTGGAAGCACTGTGCATCCCTCAGCGCTCCTTCCCAAGTAGGGTGAGAACGGCTCACATTCCTATCCCTCTCATACCCGTCCACGGCATGCGCTTCCTTCCCATACAGCCTGTTCAAGTTCTCATCCGTCTCGATATGTATCGCAAACGGGTCGTCCTTCGCCTGCTCACTCCCCGCAGCCCTCTTATACTCCCTCACATACCCACTCTCGCTCCCCCCAGCCTGATCACCATAAAACGCCAGTCTTCCCATCCCCCCTACCTCCACTGGCATGGCATCGATCCACCAATTAACAAGATCAAAATGATGCCCGCTCTTGTGCACCATCAGCCCGCCCGAGTTCTCTTTCTGCGCATGCCAGCGCTTGAAGTAGTCAGCCCCGTGCACAGTATCGAGCAGCCACTCGAAGTGCACACTGATCACCCGCCCGATTTCGCCCGCGGCGATCGTCCGCTTTACCAGCTCGTGAGTGGGGTTGTACCGGTAGTTGAAGGTTACTGTCACGTGCTTGCCTGTCCGGGCGACGGTCTCGTTGATCCTTCGGCACTTCTCTATCGTCGTTGTCATAGGTTTTTCAGTGAGCACGCGTACTTCGGACCGCAAATCAGCCCTCCTCTCAACCAAAACGATGAAGAAGAAGAAAAGACTCACAACCCATCTCCAGCGCCGGGACGACATACAAATCATGATACTGATCCACAGTCGTAATAACAACAAAATCGACCTTCTCTGCCTTGACCATCTCCCCAAACTTGTCAGGGTGGTAGATCGCCGCTTGTGCCTGGCCGAGACTCTTGAGCACGTCGTTGTAGTACGCTGCGCGGACGGAGTTCACGTCGCACAGCGCGACCACTTGGGCTCCGGGACGCTCGGTGATGCCCCGCAGGAACATGAGACCGCGGGAACCGGTGCCAATTATGGCGACGCGGCCTACTGAGGAGGACATTTGCGCGGATGATGGTGTTGTTGCCTAAGGATAGTGAGCGCGGTGACGAGGCTGCCGATGGGGTTCGCTGTCCTGTGCTAATACAAGCTATAAGCCTCTCCTGGCGGTAGGATCAGTGCATCTACGTACCCTCCATCCCTCTTCGGTCCGGGTCAGCCCGTATTCCCTCACTGTTCCCAATACCAATGGCAACATCGATATCGACAACATCAGACATGTCAGAATAGCGCCTCTCGGAGATCCAGAAGGGGATGTCCCCTCATGCACGAGGTATACACGTCGTAGTAACATTATCCCGAGCGCTCATTCAAGGCTGAATGACAGCCGGGGGATGATTATGCCTTCACTCATCCTCTGTGCCTTGAGACGGTGACCAGGGGTCTCGGAGTTGCGTCGGAGGAATGGACATCCTAAACAGCGAGAGAAGCGATAGACTCGGGGTCCTCTGCATCTCCTGGCAGATTTAGAAGTAATCGGGAGCGGTGCCGAGTGTCCGATTGGCCAGTACTCAGTAGAGAAGTGCGATATCCCAAAATGTCGCGCACGCACATGGGCGTTTGAAGTGAGAAGCACCATGTTGAAAGGACACAGCCACTCAGGGCTCCACAAGTTTCCCCGTGGGGGAAATCGGAATTCCCCGCAGCGTTTCTTCCGTCTTCCCACCCACGCGGGGCATGACCTTGCTCTGTAGGTAAACTTGGCTGATCCCACTTTGTTTGGTCTTGAGACACTGCGTTCGGTCGGGATTCGGTACTTTCCAACCTTGGACTGAACTTGATCAAATAACGACGCTCTTCTGGGTCTCATCTTCTTAAAGCACACATGAGAACCAGAAATAGACGTTTAGGTGTCACACAGGGTCGCTCCCAATTCACCCAAAGAGTGCACATCACCGAATACATTGAATGGATGCATCACCCCTCTCCTCGATAGCCTCCTCTTGACAAATGATTGGCTTCTGTGAGATGATTGATGATCCGGACCGCGCGGTCCGTCCCTTTTGGGAAGGCTGAAATACCGCAGAAGGGGGGATGTTGTTCCTGACTTGTTGGGCGCTGTTCTGCTCTCGCTTGCTCTGTCTCAGTCAGACACGATCACTCACGCGTCTCTGCTTCACTGAGCCGTATCCGCAACATGTCAAATCCTATCGTGCCCACGACGACAAAGGACGACGTGTCTATTGCCACGTCGCCGTATGATGAGAGCAAGAAGTCACTCGACGTTGCCCACCTCGAGTCTGCACCTCGGGCACACCATCATACCCTCGAGGAGATCAAGGAGCTCGACGAGGCTGCTCTCGTACTCGAAGAAGCGGGACATGTAGACTATTCCATCGCAGAGGATAGGAGAGTCTTGCGCAAGATCGATCTCTGGGTTCTGAGTAAGTCTTCCTTCCAAGTCACAAGGACACGCTAACACCAGCATCAGCGCCGATGCTCATCGTCTACTTCCTTCAGCAGATGGACAAGTCCTCCGTATCCTACGCATCCGTATTCAACCTTCAAGCAGAGACCAACCTCGTAGGCACCCAATACGCCTGGCTAACCTCGATCGTCTACGTTGCGCAGCTCGTATTCCAGCCTCTGTCGTCCTACGCCCTCGTCAAGTTCCCAGTCGGGAAATGGGTTCTCTTCAACGTCTTCTGCTGGGGTGCCTGCGTAGCCTGCATGGGAGCAGCGAAGGACTTTGGTGGCCTGCTCACAACGCGCTTCTTCCTAGGAGTCTTCGAAGCCACCGTTGCCCCTTCGTTCATCGCAATCACGCAAATGTGGTGGCGGAGACGCGAGCAGACATACCGCACCATCTCCTGGAATGCCTCGAACGGGTTCGCAAGCATCTTCGGCCCACTCATCGCCTTCGGCGTAGGGCACGTCAACAACCCCAACATCCTCCCCTACCAAGGCATCTTCATCTTCCTCGGCTGTCTCACCGTCGCCCTCACCCCCGTCGTGGGCTATATGCTCCCCGACAACCCCACCACAGCCCGGTTCCTGAAAAACGGAAACGACAGGGTGATCGCTATCGAGCGCCTGCGATCAGGGAACATGGGCACGGAGAACAAGACCTGGAAGTGGCCGCAGTTCTGGGAAACGATGCGGGACGTCAAGACGTGGCTCTGGGCTCTGCTGCTCTTCCTCGTCGCCTGCCCCAGCGGGGGGATATCCGCTTTCGGAGGTCTGATCGTCCAAGGGTTTGGTTATGATAGCTTTACGACCATCCTTTTCCAGATGCCTTTCGGGGGGATCACCGTGCTCTCCATCGCTATCACCTCCTGGGTGACGAACAAGATCAAACTCCGTTTTCCGGTGATAGCGTTCATGAGCCTCTTCCCCATCGCTGGGGCAGTAACGATCCGCCAGCTACCTAGGGACAACAAAGGCGGGCTCCTAGCAGCATACTACATGGTCTCCTTCCTCGGGTGCCTCCAGCCCCTCCTCTATTCCTGGTCAAACCTCAACGCCGCGGGTCACACGAAGAAAGTGACCAACACAGCAGTCCTCTTCATCGCCCAGTGCGTGGGGAACATCGTCGGTCCCCAAGTGTACAAAGCCGAGGAGAAACCGTACTACTATACTGGGATCGCAGTTGATCTCGGGTGCTGGTGTGCACTCATTTTCGCCATCCTCGGTACGGCGGCATACCTGCACTATCTTAACAAGCAGCAGGAGAAACGCAGGCTTGCGGCAGGCAGACCGGGACATGTGATCGACACGTCTATCATGACGCTTGAGGAGGCGGAGAAGCACAGGCAGCACCAGCTCGCCACGGGCCAGATCGAGCTCAACACCAACGAGCACGCGTTTGAGGATTCTACGGATTTCCAGAATATGGACTTTGTGTATGTCCTGTAGGTTGTCGACCAGTAGCACCTGTCAGTGTAGGACTAAAACTAGCTGAATCACATGCCAGTTGAAGAGCATGAATGGAATGCTAAGTCCATAGTATGTCGCCTCGAGAGGAGAACCGGCTTGTGCGTCGAATGTAATCCATATATTGCTTGTCGATTTTAAAGTAAGCCAAAAGGTGACAATATGACAGTCGTCGTAGGATATCAGCATTGCTTGGTCGGGAGGGTTCTCCAGATTCCAAGGATGATGCGACAAGGGACTAGAACTCCATAAGATCAGCACACCATGCTGCTATATCGCGACCTACGACAACACCCTGCGGACCGTGTCATGACCCAGAATTGAGGGATTGCATAGGGTTATGTCATGATCATGCTGCAGAACGATATCGAGAGCTCCTTCGAAGTTGAGAGGCATTAGTCTCTGAGAGCGAATGAAAGCATACGGATTTCTGTTGCTAGCAAACTTACTGATACAGAGCTCTGTTGTATCACATAACCACACATCTGGAGCCCATCCAAACCAGCACGCTTTTCGGAAAATACCTGATGTACCGCTTGCATACAGGCGTACAGACGATGGTGCGCATCGAACGGTGCATAGTTGGACATGCAGACAGAGATTATGCTGTCAATAAGCAAAGGGGCAGAGGACGTCATTACATCCTCTGGCAGAACAGGAACGCCATCGGGCTGTTCTTCTCGCAGGCTCGTAGTAATCCGATGTGTCTCTGCTTTGTGCTGTTGGGGAATTAATGCGAGCGATTCCGTTATCGCTTGATCTGACCACGTGACATGTGCCCCTCCCGCGCTGGAAGGTTTCCCCCATGATCTGTAGAGCATTAATTTCAACACCTTTCCCCAAGAGAATTGGACCTACTAGAGGCCATTGGCTGCTGTCTCTGTCGCTGGTGTGCGATGCCCATTTCTCACCTGTGACATGGTGAATATACAATTGACGAGTCCTTCTGCGGCGACACGAACAGGAGGCTGTTAGGGGCAGGATACGTATGCGCCTGCATAATATCAAATTGCCGTGACACGAATGGAAGACTCCCATGGGCAGGATGCGTGTCCCCCTGCACGATATCGCATGGTCGTGACTCCCAAGGGACCCAGCCGAGCTTTGATTCTGATTGGGCAGTGACAAGTGGCTTGTCGGCGTTATACGAGTTGAAGATGAACACTCTCAATGGCAGAAACACGTTGCAAGTCGCAGAGATCAGGAGGCGTGTGGGACTCACAAGCAATCTCGGATGCTTTGATTGTGATGGCGAAGAAATCCGAGCACAAAGGAATCTATTGCTAAACCGGGTACACGATGATTTTGTCCAAATTCCCCGCATAACCTTCGTACCCGGCGTAAGTATTGAACGATCGTACGTAGGAAATCAACTTACTTGTTTGATTATGACCAATTGTGATATTGTTTTTTGAAGACTTCATCAACATTAGCCGAACAGGCACACTCAAAAATGCCCCTGAATCTTGGGTGTCTGGCTGTTCTACGGTCTGTGTCGGCCCCCCATTGACACTTACGCACAGACTACATCAGACATTTTCTTTAATGGTCAGCACAATAGTGGTGCTCACCTCACCGTTGTCTCTCGCCAGTTCCGATCAGGGTTCGCATAATAGAGGGACACCCAATGTTCGGCCCCATTCCCTTGAATTCCATGAATGGTGACGCATCCGCCAGCGCCTAATCGATACACCGCCAACTTCGAAGTACAAGAAGCGCACTTGCCGACCCGTGCATTTCGTGATAAGATCCCGTGGGCAGCATGATACGTAGTACCGTTGGGGATTACAATAGCCCCTGTCTTCAGGTCCATGGAGAATACCTATCCAAGAACGTGGGTAAGCAGGTAAGGCCGAAAGAATCGACGAACATCAACCCAATCTAACCAAACTGTGGCATTTTCGTGCCACATCATGGGCAACCATACGTAACTACTCCGGCCCAATCGATTGGATTTCCACCGGTCACCCATAAACAGGCTGACCATGCTCCTCCCTTCGCTTTCGCCTCTCTCGATGACGAGATCATAGGTGTTCTGACTGAAGTATGTCCTGAGCAATGGTGGTGCAATATCTTCCGGCTCTGACCATGGACCTGAAAGAGATGGAGCTGATAAATGCCTGTTTGCATTCGGCCACCAGCCGGTGAGGCCGGAGATGAAGAGATGGTAAGTCTTCAACGAAGTTAACACACGTATTCTCCATGCTTCCTGTCAGACTCACCCCATTCTTCTTGATGATGCCGGGTGCCTCATAACCCCCTCCGTAGAACACATGGGTTATGTTGCTGACATTTCGGTAGTCTGGCGTCAACTGGGCGATTTTGAAATTATTATTCCAGTCTGACGCATAAAGAAGATACGCGTTCTCATCGTCATCCACGAAGAGACCAATATCACGAGAATCTGCCCCAAAGGGTTTGAAGGAGCATAGAAACGTGTAAGGTCCTTCGGGTGTGGGGGAAACTGCTACGCCGACTTCGGCAGCATTATAACTGCAAGGTGTGAGGTCCACGGACAAGGCTGCGTCTAGAACACCTACTTTAAATTGTCTGAATGAAACCACATGACCTGACAAATGTAAAATATGTAATCGTTTGGCACAACGGCATGCACATACATAATCATTGTTCAGTGAGTTATGGAGAACTTTAGGGCGCTCGACAATGCTCTCGTTTGAGACTGATGTTCCCACGAGGGGAACAAGGGCATCCGGAAGACGAGTCCAGGTATACAGGTCTGCCGACTAGGCATATCGAAGTGTTAATCTCCATACACGACATGCTGAATGCACTCACAACGTAGCATGACACGGCCCTGAATGTTGAAGCGTGATGTTCTTTGTCTTCTCCAAACCAATAGCTAAAGATCGATCAATGCGTGGGTACGCAACACAAGGACTACCCATACAACACGTCATCTACTTTCAGCATTCCTCCACCGTGAGCTTGGATGGAATTGCCCTCAGTATCCAGCCATCGTGCACCAGGCACGATCCATCTTGGTGCTGCAGACGGCTCAGACAGAGAGAAACTGGGGTCTACAGTTTCATGCTTGAAAAAAGAGATTGCCCGAAAGAGCAAGTCGAGAATGAACGAAGCATTAGACAAAACTGGAAGAGCACAGAGAAGCAGGCATAGAAGTAGCAGGTTTGTGGCTTTGAACAGCACCGTCGGAGCAGACCGTTGGGCAGGCCCAGGGAGAAGCACCTTGTCATCCACCATATGCTAGCAATCGAGAGAGAGAGAATGGAAGTCACATAGGATTGGCCTGACAACAGAGAGAAAGACAGTTCACTCCATCGTTGTGGAGAGCACGCAGAATATGTTCCTCGCAGGTTCGGGGTGATGCGCTGGCGGCGTTGTTGAGGGTGTTGTTGATCAACGGAAGCTGATGGTACCACGTGCACATGCCGCGGCTGGGATCGAGTGATCTTCTGCTGCAAGGTTTGTTTGGTATGTTTCGAACCTTATTATCTCTGTTGTGATACTCTGACTACCATCGATTATCGCCTTTCATGAGACTTCACCATGCGAGAATTAATCAGGACTATGACCATAGCTCGGTGAATGGTTTTCCAGATAATTAGAACGATTGCCACTGGTCGTTTTCACATGAACACGAAGAATGCCGGGCTCGAAATTTTACCCTTCGCAAAGGGAACGATTGCATGTGTGCTGTAGGGACTCCAGGATGGGTCGATAATGCCTGCGAAAATGGCGCAGTCGACTGCTTTGCCGAATCCAGCGAAGGCACGGTCTGCGCAGAGCCAATATATTATTCCGTTCCAGCTGCCCATGACCTTCCGATTGCAAATACTTCGCATGAAAGCGTGAACGACCCCGATGTCCTCAAACCCCTTCGGCACACCTGTTTTCACAACATATTTGTCCAGCACTGTAAATCTAATTAAATTGTTGGCAATTGCGGTAATGTGCTCGCACAGCTTCGAGCGCCGCGTTACGGTCTTCCGAACGAACGATCAGCGCGCCATCCCGATAACAAAAATGTCTGTGTCCTGTAATGTGACATCGTCCTGTCTTAGGAACGCAATGAATGGCTCACGTGTGACATCCAGGAGCCGGGCACTGTGCAGGTTAGCGCGAAGGAAGACAGGAGAGATGAGGATGAACTCACGGTCATGTGGTAACACCCTACGGTTTTCTCGATTCTCGTCCCACATCCTACAAGGAGTGGGCACATACTCAATAGATAAACTTTATACGCACCTCCAGGGCAAATCTCCCATCCAAACTCCTCCATTGCTTGGCTAATTCTGCTGTACCTATCCGCAGCATCGGCCCGTTTTATACGAATGAATAGGCCCTATGAGGACCTTACCATCGCAAGTATGTGTGCGGCCATATACTGCTGGCTGATCGCAGTGTCGGCACCACCGGTATATGCAACCTCCAAACGGACAGGAGACATAATCGACTGCAAGAAATTCCTCGCGATCGATCATCCCGCTTTCTCCGCACCTAAACAACAACATTACCACACAAATACTTTTCGCAGAGGATAAACCGCTGCACCTGCGGCATGATATCATCACACCGAATTCTTCTACCTCGAGTCTTTCCCATGGGTCTGCGACCCGGTCAGGAAGATCCAATCTCTGGCAGAAGTCACGTGTCATATCTGATATAGACATGAGCTTCTGTGGTCATCCAGACTTCGTCCCATACTTACAATTTGACGTATCTGTATCCTCTGCCAAACATGTAGGGCAAGGGATGGGCAGCAGACCTTCCTCCACGCGACTAGAGACAACCCCTTGCAACGAGCTGGTACAAAACTCGTGCGCACAGTTCAGGCGGATACGGTCCGTGACTTGTTCATCTTCCATACAAATCCCACAGCGGAATGTTGTAGGATCTGGCACTTCAGGTTCTACCGGCTCCTCTATTTGAAAAAACTCTGGGTAGTCCAATTCAAGGGGGGTTTCCTCTCCAGACGGGGCGAAGATGTGACCTCTGATTGAAACGTCGTTCGTAGACATGCCACGCAATAACTGCCAGAGGTAATCAATGGCTTCTCCGTCACTGGGAAAGAGCATGAGTGGGATGCTGAGTCCATAAAGTGTTAGGTCGGGGAGAGAACCGGCTTGTGCATCAAAAGCTATCCAGATCTTGGTCGAGTTGGGCGTGTTGGAAGTGAGTAAAAACACGGCAACGTAGCAGTCGCCGTGTGATATCATCATAGCTCTGGAAGAGCCGTCATTGGCTGTTCCATTATCGGAGTACAAATGACTGCTATACGTGAGATCAACGCCCCATACATGCTTCCTGACCACGTACGACAACATCGTTGCGACCGCATCACGATCCACAACAGTGGGATTGGGTAGCCGCACATCGTGTTCCTGTTGCAAGACGATATCAAAAGTTCTGTTCCCTTCGAGGATGGCAGCCTTGATCAGCTATGAACCAATGAGCCTAGCCCTATCCCATAGAATCTGACTCACCGAAACAAAGCTCTGTTACATTATATGACCGCACAATTGGAGACCACCCATGCCTGTATGTTGCTGCGAAAACACTTGATGCATTGCTTGCATACATGCAACTAGACCCTGGTCCAAGTCGAAAGGTTCGTACCGTGAGATCGCCACGCACATGATACTGTCAAGGGACAAGGGTGGCGGAGCAGATGGTAAGCCATCGTCTGGTCGGAGAACAAGCGCTAATTGGTAGCGGACGCTGGATTAGAATATTCTGCCCCTACAGTTGTGTTTGTCCATCGGGTGTGCCGGTTGCGTCTCCTAAAGCCTGTTCATATTCATGAAGAACAAGGGCTCCTTCGGCTTCGGGGTGATCTCGCGGAGCTGCAGCTGCTCGCCGTCTCTCTGCTCCCTGTTGTTCTTGCAATGCGAGGGACTGCGCTATCGCTTGATCCAGCAATTCATCGTCTGTCAATTCCCTTCTGGATGCGCGCCTATTATCTTCGGGGGATTATTTGGAAGATATTGTCCAGTCATAAAATGAACTTACCAAGGACCATCGACCTTCGTCGTAATTTTGGGTGCGAATGTGAGTTGCCCATTCTCTCGTTGCTCGATGAAGAAAAGATGAACTAGAAGATGTCAAAGGGATGGTCCGTGAAAGACATACGGATTAAGCGCCTGCAGGAGTGCAACGGTGTGCAAATTTAAGCATTCCACTAGTGTGTGGCACTTTGCTCTTGATGGCGCAGCACAATCCCGGAGGGAATTCCTCCGGTGCCCCCTCTTCGGAGATATTGCTCCCACAATGCCCTTCCGGAGGCAAATGCTCAGAATGCCCTCCCCTTCACGTGCCCGCAGAGCTCGCAGCCTTTTCACCTGTCGAAACATGGGAGCCAGGGCACTAGTCTCATGCTACAGGGGTCCCAATTTTTGTTTGTTCACAGTTAGCCAAACATTAGCCAACAATGAATTAATATTATGAGAAAATTAAACAGAAAATAATTTAATAAACCTCTGCCATTTTTTCGAGCTTCTATAACCCCTTTTTGCTGCCTCTGAGAGATATGTTTGGCCACTCTGGGAAGACGAGACCCCAAGCTTACACTTTTTGCTCTTTTGACACGTGAGGAAAGTCACGCACTCTGTGAGCACATGAAGGAGAGGGCATTTTGAGCATTTGCCTCCGGAAGGGCATTGTGGGAGCAATATCTCCGAAGAGGGGCACCGGAGGAATTCCCTCCACAATCCCGAGACGGGAAGGGGGGCTGTGCTGATAGGCTGCCGAATAATCATAAGACTTGTCCGAGTTCTCGGTACTAGTCCAACTTTCGCCAAGGTGTAAGCATCAGAATCGTGCAGACCAAATTCACGCACTCCTTTGAGTCCGTGTTAATGGGCAGCTATCACCCCAATGCCACAATGATCGCTACTATGATTAGCACATTCAGAACCGTTCAGTTATAGTTTTCTCACAACCACTGCCGCCCACCTGATTGTTATCTCTCTAGCGCCAATCGGGATGGCGAGAACAGGTGTACATTGAACTGTATTTCCTTGGAGATCGCGAATCGTCGTAATTTCGATAAAAACTGATTTAGTAGTAAGTGGAGTAGAATTTTAGTTCTGACCTGTAAGGTATAACGTACCCTTGGGATTACGATAAACCCGCTCTTGACATCTACTGCGAATGTCTCTCAGCAGTGCTCGATATGCAGATAGGCGCCGTCAGAATATCTCCGAATGAACCGAATCATCCACAAGGTCGTTCTCGCACCACGTCGTTGGTACTCGGAGATTACCACTCCCGCCGGGTGCATTTGATTTCCCCTGTTCAACAGGCTTGGTATCTGCCTTTGCCGTCAGAAGAGAAGCTGCGGGTCAGTTTAGGACTTGCGTCTCTTAGGCTTAGGTAATACTGACTTGAATGTTATTGAAACAGCCAGATGCCTCAAGCCCACTTCCCTATTTCACGTGTATTGCATCCGTACCATTCAAGGACATGCGTTATTGTCAACTGCGTGGTCTTAAGGTGGTGAATCTCAGTCAAAGTAACGCTTAATATGAGTTGCCGTCATTGTTTATGCGCAGATCACAGGTTGTCGGGATTGAATAGTTCATCCGTATGAGAGTGTCTTCGACGTCGATTCAGGGGCTGGAGGGACAACCAACGAAGAAGCTAAATGCTTCGCAGACAAAAGAAAGATTGGGGCGAGTTCATCAGCGGTGCAGTACGATCTCCAGAGTGGCCAGTCCAGAATAGTTCATATGGCAGAGAACGATAGATCCAGATCCAGATCAAAGTAGAAAGCAGGCGAATAGAAGTCCTAGCTTAGGCTTGTTCTTCACCACCCGGGGCTCGACGGAACGTCGCTTGCATGGGAATAGTTGCGCCAATCATATAGAAGCCATATCCATTCAAAGAATGTTGCATAGCATTACTCGCCGCAGAGAACAGCAAGTGGTCATGTCTTTATGTTATGTGCCTATTGATTAGTGTTCGAGGACGTTTGTATGTGGGCGGCGGGGGCTAACCTAATTGATCACTTATCAGCGGAAGCTAAAGTGACCACGTGAAGAATGTAAATAATCAAATGGAGCGCGGCCCTATCTGGTCCGAGAACGGGCCACGTTCGCCGGACGAGGCGTCATCCCATCTGTGCACTGGCCACCACGCCAACCTGCCGCAAGACAGTCAACAAACAACGGTCTATACTCCTGGACTTGTGCGACACCTCCTCTCTCCCAACCACGACCATCTCCTTTGCTGAAGCTGCGACGCGGAGAAAACTTGACAGGAATCCGATAGGAGCCACGGCTATTGGACCGACTTCCCCTGATCTTCCAGATAGGGTCTACTCCTGCCGCAAGGCCGCATATAGCCAGCACATCCCAGTCTCAACGAGGCCGACTATCCTTGGCTCCCGTCCGAGCGATTCAGGTCGAGTCGTCGAGCGATCATCTCCGTTGACGTTGGTTCAGTCAGTCTTGGATCGCCGGTGACTCAAACCCCGTCAGTCACCTCGCTGCCTGCCGATCGCTTTTCGATCAGCAAGCAACCAACTCGGGAGGCTTTTCAGTTCAGATCTCAGCTACCTGTCGCTGAGAACTGAACTTGGGGAGCTTTCCCTCATACGATTATGGCGCTCTATTCTTATCCGACTCCCCTGCATGTCTTATATAGCCAGAAGGACACCCGCGGTTTCCGTCAGTTGCTCGACGCTCGTCAGCAGTCGAATGGTCCGCATTCCGGCGCAGGGGGGTCCTCCCTTCCTCGCTCGTGGGGCGTATCCTCCCTTGGTCCTGTTGGAAACGAGGTGAATGCGCGGGATGGGTTTGGAAGGACATTGCTGCACATTGCTGCAGCAAGCCTTGATGGGTGGGCACCCGAATGGGTCCGCATCTGCCTTGCTCAGAAAGGCATCGATGTTAACCTACAAGATCCCGAGAACGCCTGGTCGGCATTGCATCGTGCGCTCTACGTTGGCAACTTGCACGCTGTTCGTCTGCTGATGGAGCGAGCCGACACCGATCTGAAGAGCAAAGACCACGAGGACTTCACACCTTGGGACGTATATAACCTAACGGTTGATGGGACGTATCCGGATTTCGAAGCACCATATGGGACAATGCTGTACACATGGGGTGTCAATCGGTACGTCAGCTATCATGTGAAACAGTCACCCTACTAATCTGGTGATAGCAACTTCACGCTCGGTCTGGGTGACGGGGACGACCGCACATACCCTGAACCGATCAATCTCGCTCGCCTCACGCCGCCTTCGAATGCCACGGGTAGCGCGAGATTTGATACTATCGGTGTGAGCAGCATCGTGATGGCGAAGCTGCATACAGGTATCGTCACTTCCGAGGCTCGTGCGAATGTTCGCCTGTGTGGTTTCGGCTCCGGAGGGCGCCTCGGTGCCGGATCGCACACGCAGTACTCGTTCGCGCCGCTGAAGGACTTCGCCCACACCGTCACCGCTCTCGCGCTTGGTCAGGATCATACACTCGCCTTGACGTCCTCCGGAGAAGTATACTCCTGGGGACTCGGTCGCTTTGCCCAGCTGGGTTACATTATCGACAAAGACGATAAAGGCGCAGCGGACAGTGAGCAAGTGCAGTACAGCCCGAAGAAGGTTGTCGGTTCGCTTAAGGGCAAGGAAGTGCGAGGCATCGCTGCCTGCAAGACCGCGTCTGCCGCTTGGACAAGAGAGGGACTCTATACATGGGGTACCAACGCTGGTCAGCTTGGGTACGATAGACACACTGTCCCTACACAAGTCTCGCCTCGCAAGGTTACCGCCGTGACCCAAGGAGTGATTGATGCGGCACTTGCAGAGAACGCTATGTGTGTCCTGCTCGAGTCTCAAGATGTCTTGTGCTTTTGGAACGGAATCCATTTCAAGATCAACTTCCCAGCCCAGAAGTTCAAGAGCGAGAGTTCAGTCTACCGGCCCCCACAAGCTATCGTCAAAGTTATGATAAACAAGCTGGTAGTCTGTGAGAACGCTTTCGTCGCATTAAGCACATTCGGCGATGTTTTCTTCTTCACCCTTCCTGATCCCGGAAATGTTGATAACGATTCCGAGAAGTTTACGCTCAAGCCTCAACGTATTTGGGCCACCCGATGCGCAGAAAGCATGGCCAAGGACGTTGGTGTGGGAGCCGATGGGACCGTCCTCCTGTGTACGGCGACTGGTCATGTGTTTTCCCGGCAGCGAAATCAGAAGCTCGCCAATGACAGTCGACGCTCCCTCCCCGGCCAAGGGGCGCCACCTGGACCTGGAAACCTGAAGAGCTTCAAATTTCATCGTGTCCCATGGTTACAGCGCGTCATCAAAGTGTCAGCTAACAGCACTGGCGCGTTTGGTGCTATCGCAGTTGATGCTGTACCCAAACGTCTCGATCTCACTGGCCCGACATTAGGCGAGCAACTCGTTCAAGGCTTGCCTCATTTCAAGCAGGTGGCTGGCAGTCGAGCTACGTCCGATAGTGATGTCCAATCGCCCATGTCTCTTAGTTCTGACAACATCTCCCCTGTCCCTGTCACTGACGAAGATGATGATGACGGCCCCTCCGAAACTTTTGAGCTCATGGCAGCATCTCAAGTAGTCGAGGCTTACTTGCAGCTCGAGGAGGACAAGCTGGCGCAAGTGACCAAGGTGGAACCGATGCCAGCCCGACACTTGTGGGGTGCTGACGTCAGTATTGAAGTTGCCGGCTGCACAATCTACGCACATCAGGCCATTCTTGCGGCGCGGAGCACAGTTCTCAAAGATGCTCTAGCCGGGAAGGGATACACAGGTTCTGAGGTTGCTATTGCACTTTCAAAGAACGCGAAGGGGCCCTTAACGAAGCTGAACATCCGACTGTTGACCAGGCCAAGCACTGTCATGCAAGAGCTCCAAGATTTGCCTCTGGTTTTTCACCCACTTTCAGTCTTATTACTGCTCCAGTACCTCTATTCGGACACCATACCCTCCATTTGGGACCGCCTTGTCGGTGAGCGCTTACTCGGTCGATATCCCAAGCTCAAGCTACATGCCTCCCGCCTACGTGCTGAAGTATCGACTTTAGCCCGCGCACTGGGTCTATCAGCACTGGAAGCCTTCATGAGCGCTGCTACGTATGCTCGACGTACTCCAACGCCCACCTTGATTCGCGATATGTCTCGCCTCTTCGCGAGCTCGCAAGGTCGTGAAGCAAAATATGACATGGTGCTGCAGTTGAAGGATCGTCAAGTACATTGCCACTCAGCTGTTCTCCGAACGCGCAGTCCATTTTTCGCAAGCATGTTCGATGACGAGGACTGGATGGCTGATCGTTGGTCAAACGAGCATGTGGTCCAGATTGATATGAGACATTTGACTTGGGAAGTCATGGAGCCAGTCTGCGCTTACATCTATGAGGACAAAGGCCTGGAATTACTCGACAACATTGTGAGAAACACCGTTGATGACTACATCGACTATGTTTGCCATGTCATGGCGGTTGCAGTGAGTCGTGCTTTTTGCGGGACAAGTCTTGGACGACAAGCTAATTCCACTCTAGAGCGAACTATTGTTGGACAAGCTTATGCTCGTCTGTTCTTCTGTGATATTACGACACGTCAACCTGTACAATATCCCTTCGCTGCTTGCGGACGCAGCCCATCTTTCTGCAAAACCCCTCTTGAATAGTTTGTGCGGATATCTCGCCATGAATCTGGAATCTGTCATGGAATCTCGCCTCTTGGATGATATGCCTCGTGATCTTTTGGGCAAAGTGGGGGAATATATAAGATCTCTGCAGGCGGAGCGAAGCCCAGTTGCACGGTCGGGGATTTTGATTGAAGAGGCCATGAAGACAAACATGGATTGGTCGTCTATGGAAGACTTCCCGCAGCCGATCCAGCGCAGCTGGAAAAAGATGGTCAAGCCGTCTCCTAAGTTATCACCAATCAACCCCTTGTCTCCTCGTATATCGCCCTTGATAAAACCGCTAATGTCCCCGCCGGCAAACAAGAATACGCACTTCAAGTCACCCCCCCTTGTTATACCTGATGATGGTGGTATCTTTGCAATGGATGAAGACGTGGAAACTAGTCGAATTCCGCCGATGTCATTAGATACGCCAGCATCAAGTCAGCCCGCATCCCCTCTTCCGATTCCCAACAGAGCCCCGGTTTGGAAGGGCAAAAGCTTGCAAGCCCACCAGAAAGCTGACATGCGAAGCATCATGGCAGAAGAAGCCACTTCTAATGGACGGTACCTCCCTACCGGCGTTGGTAGCGCACCGAAAGGACAAGGATTTCCAGCATATGCACCTCTATTACCTGCGAAAGGGTTGGGAGTATCTCCATCACCTTCCAGAACACCGTCGGGTGTATCAGTATCATCCACAACCGGGCCGTCTACATCCACTCCCTCCACGCCTCAACTACGGCTTGCTGGTCGACCATTAACACAACGGTCTCCGTCCGGTGCGCAACCTCCCGCGACTTCAGGATCTCATCTACCCACACCGACGATGGGAACCCGTCAGCCAGCTTTCAAGGGGCCAGCGCTTGGACCAATCATCACTCCTGTCCGGGCGACACCGTCTGACAGCACGTCTCGGCGACGTAATCAGGATGCTTGGACTTCTGGCGGGCCGCTCCTGTCGACTTCACCTCCGTCTGCAGGCCCCAGCTCTGGCAATTTATCTTTCCTTGCCATTCAACAAGAGCAGAAAGAGGCATTGCTGGCAGGTACGAAGGCCCCCAAGAAGCCCAGTCTTCTTGAAATACAGGAACAAGAACGGACAAAGAAACTGGAGGAACAAGCCAGTCGTGAGGAAACAGCATTCATTCAGTGGTGGGCGCAGGAAGAAGAGCGAATGCGCCGGGGAGCCGGCAGGGGTATCCCTCTTACAGAAGGCCCTGATGGTGGGCGAAGTCAGCGACGCGGAAAAGGAAGGGGCAAGGGCGAGACTACTGAGGGTGGCCGCGGTGGACATGGTGGACGTGGTGGACGACGAGGTGGTGCAGCTAGAGAAAAGGGCAAGTGCCAATCTCAAGCAACGGTTGGAGCATAATTGGAGTTTGATCATGCGAATGTTCTCTTGGAATTCGTTGTTTTCGGTGTCGAATCGCTTGCAAGGACTTTTATCCTTATGTATATACTTGTATTCCTTTGTATTGTATAGCACGTGGAAGATTGGCAACAATAGATGGGAGCAACCAATGTATTCATATTCATGTGGCCAGCGCTACACATTCTCTTCGTTATATTTGTCAAATCAAAACAGCATGGATTGTAGCATACATCACGGTATTGTGGATCATCATTCAAGAGCATAAGAAAGGTCATTAATAATCGTGTCTCTTCTTGCAGCTTCGTCCATGAGACTTAGGAGGATGTGCTACCAGGCGATATTCCAGGTTGGCCACCTTGCGCACGCCATTGTTCCATGATGGCCCGTGGAACATGGAGCTTGACCTTCAAAGATTGTCGTTCTGTCGTTTCGGCTTCCGGAATAGCCTGCGGATCGATTTGTGTTTCGTCTGAGAGTCGGTTGGTTTCGAAGGGATCTAGCAGAGGGGGGCTCGGTTCTGGATCCATTTTCACTTTAAGATCCTGCATTGAGCTAGCGAGTTGCCCAAGGTCCGAGTCCGAGACTGAGCGTGGTGGTACGATTTCCGTAGTTGTTGCTCCCGCCGTAGAAGGCTCTTCCGCTGCACTAGGCTCGGGAAGTCGAGAGGGTGTATTCGCATTTGACTTGCCTCCGCGCTTTCCACGAGTTGCTCTTGTCCGTGTTCCACTACGAGGAGGCGTCGTTTCAGCTGGAATAGCAGGCTTCAGAGTCTTCCTATCTCGGAGACCCATGCGGTGAGGTTGTGCAGGAGTACCGGGAGCAGAACGTGGTAAAGGCTGCTCTTCGGGAGACAGTGGTGGAAAAACGAGGGGCAGCAGGGACAACGCGCGCACGAGATATGGAGAGGTGGACGTTGATGATACAGGAGCTCTGCGATTGGAGGCCTTTGGAGGAGGGAACGCCTTCTCGATCTGAATTCAATCAGCCTTCACGAAATCAGCTGCTGCTTAACACCCAGACCTTGATAAGTTCGTCCAAACTCCACCATGGTGTCCGCCGCATCACTTCTTCTGGAGTCAAAAACAGACCCACAAGATAAGCCATTGATCCGCTCTGGAGGGCTCGATCCCCATAACCGCCTTCAAGAACGGTTACAATTCTGCCGTCGGCCCACTTGTCAGCAAGCGCTTTTGCATCCGCAGCAAAACGACCATAGAATGTGGGTGGCACATTGCGTTTATGCCTTGACATCGATTCCATCTCATGCGAGCAGGCATCAAAGCCGCAACTGCGTAAAAAGATTAGCATAGTACGATTGAGAGGAAAGCACTAGCACACACCTCACCAAAACCAAGCTCTTGTGCGGTTCTGCTCCCGTATTCTTGAAGAAATCATCCGCTTTCTTCAGAAGCTGCGAGTATTTCTGCGGATACAATCGGCCCCAGAAGTCTTCATCAGACGTGTATGGCTCCAAGTGAATGTTTTCGATATGTTGACCATGCCCCCCATGAATGCAGATAGAGGCTGCTTGCGTCAGGGCCGGGTCTCCTAACTGACAAAATAGAAAACAGTGTGAGACAAATCGATAGGGGCCTATAACAGCGTACCTCGCATGGATAGCTGAGAATGTCATGCATGGAACCATAGTATATCTGAAGGCCTGGCGTTGCATCTGGCTGGGGTTGCTCTTCTGACTGGTTACGCTTATTTGTTTCCGCGTTGATGGCCCATGCGATAGCTTGAGTTCCGTTCCCATGATGCAAATCAATATCGAGAATGGCAACATGTGTTATAGAGTGGCTTAAATTGGCTGAAGACTTTCAGAAAGCAACACGAGGCGTGCAATTGGCCTTGCACGTACCATGTACAGCCGCAATCGCGACGTTATTCAAGAAGCAGAATCCTGACGGCGTGGCTGAAGAACAATGGTGCCCGGGAGGTCGAACAGAAACAAAGGCTCGTTTCGGACTTGCTGGAGACACGACCAAATCAACTGATGCGCAAACAGTTGCTATAGATGACTGGAACGCCGCCATTGATCCGGGGGAAACTACAGAGACAATGTCAGCTGCCAAAAATCAGAGAAGCAGGGGCTGACACACGATACAAATCTCCTTGAGGCCATTCCTCGGGGATTTCACTTTGTTTCACGGTTATCTTTTCGACACACGTCTCGACAAGTTCGTGCAACCGCCCAATGTAGGCCTTTTCGGTAGAATCTGGATCTCGCTCCTCTTCGAGATCAGCCAGCTTATTATGAACGTATCTCGTTGCTTCATGTGTGCGTATATCGATAGCACGGTATTCTGCTGGGGAGACCAGCTGGAGGAAGTCGGGCGCGGAAGAGCCCAAACTGGAAGCATCAGGCAATGAAGCTTGTTTATCATGTAAGGCGTCCTCTAGTCGTGCCAATCCACAGGCTAGACCAACGGCAACCGCACGCAACCGTTGTGGTCGCTCTACAATGGTAGAGATGTGTGACGTTCGGATGTACGTATGCAAGGCGCAAGCAGGTGCCGAGAACAGCGCTACCGGGATGTGGGGAAGAGTCCGGGCCTTCTCCGGAGATGGAAGCGGGGGCAGTCGGAGAATCTCAGGGTCCTCTGGTGGGGCATGTGAAATGGAGAGCGCGTCCAAAGCTGAAGATAGTATGCGATCAATGGAGACCTCGCGGGGATCCATATCGGTGCCGCTTTCCCTCTGGGAAGACCGACTATCCATGTCGCCTAGGGTGAGAAGAAGAACAAGTAATTAAACCAAGAGTGCACGGAGAAGAGATGCGAGCGGGATCGCGCGACGGGGAACGCGACCCTATAAACGGATGTTTTTGGTTTACGTCACGCGTATGCGGGGCCAAATGTCCCCTGACGACCACCAACCATGTGAGATCAAGAATTTCTTTACAGTATGTCATCAGAACTAGAGTCATACTGAGTGCTGTCTAGCAATTTCCTGTAATTCATCTCGATCACCGCTCCGTTCCACCAAGCTTTTGAAGAGACCGTCCTTTTTCTTCAATAGAGCGGTCGGGGTGTCGAATTCGATCAGCTTTCCCGCGTCGAGTACTGTTGTGCTAGTCAGAGATTGCTATCCGTGATGACGGAAGTACTTACCCATAATTTTATCGTAATCCATTATTGTTCTAAGACGGTGTGCGATGGTCAACAGGGTAGCCCCCTTGAGTTCTCGCCTGATGCTTTCCTGGATTATGCTGTCTGTGTCATGGTCCACGCTTGCTGTCGCTTCATCGAGGAGTAATATGCGGGTATTGCGGACGATTGCACGAGCTAGTGCGACCAGCTGTCTTTCACCTACAGAGAAGTTCCCGCCAGCATCTGACACGGCCGTGTCCAGTGACACGTCGCGATCTAACAATCCGATATCCCTCAGGGCATCGTTCAAGACTGCGTCATCCTGTTGACCGAATGGATCCAGATTGGTACGAATCGTGCCAGAGACCAGAACTGGCTCTTGGGGTATAATGGTAAGATTGGCCCGCAGCGCGTTGAGGTTAATAGTCGAAGTTGGCAGACCATCAAGATACACCTCTCCTTTCGTTGGGATCATTCGCAGCAGGGAGAGAGCCAGCGTGCTCTTCCCGCTTCCGGTTCGACCAACTGCAGTTATTGTCAGCAAACGATAGATTACAGTATGTGCACACGGACCAATGCCAATCCGCTCCCCAGTCTTGATTTCGAAACTGAGGTTGTCTAGGACAAGTGGGCTGTCCTCGGAATATCTGTCAGGCGCTCAGCATAGAATGTGGAAATCAGTTGAATGACCAACTTCGCAGACAAATTTTCTGCTCGAAGTGCTCCGGAAGCGGGCCAATACGCCGGAGGTTTGCCCATCTCCGAAGACCCAGACTCGTGGTCGATGTCGATGTAGTCGCGCATGCGCTCTAAACTGCGGAAACATGATATCAGGCCATTATGAACGGGAAGCATCGCTTACCTGTTTGCCGTTACCTCCATGCTATTTGCTCCTCGCAACCACCACAGAATCATACTTGCGAATCCAATTGCCATGTTCAGCTATGATACATATTTCAATGAAACGGTTGACATGAAAGTGTGGCATATTCACACTGAACTGTCACGCAGTCAGTCTCATTACGTAACGACGGAACTTGCACGCACTCCTGTTTTCCCAGCCTCTTCAGATTTGAAATACACCAGGTATGCCGCGACACCTGTGGCGAACAGAGCTCCGAGAGTGTCGACTCTCGAGGCAATCCAACGATGAAGATTTTGAAAGCAACGTGATGACCTAGAATATGCATCGAGTCGATTGAAGAGCTCTGCTTTGAAGGCATCCTGTGCACCATAGGCGCGGATAGAGACAATACCAGCGACAGCAGCAGAGAAATGATTGTAGATCGGCGATTTCCAGTTTGATCGAATGCGCTTGACGCCCATTTGAACAAAAAGATACACTTGACCTATGCTATAACCGGCGATCGTAACAAAAAGGCCGGGTATGAGCAATATGGGAGATCCCATCATCACCGCAGAGAACCGCAACAAGAGCAGTATGGTTCGGGTGATGAACACCCCAAAAAATTGAGTCAGTGGGCCATCCATATCGCGAACATCCTGAAACGAAAAGGTTGATACTGGAACATTTTGGCAATGAGAACACTTACTTGGGTGAAACGCGATATGATGCGACCTCGGGGTGTAGTATCAAGCCATCGCAAAGTTGACGACATGATGCTGTCCAGCAAGAGCTCATGCACCCTTTGGCATGCAGCCATGCTACGATAGATATACGTGATATTGCCCAACGTTGTCAGAGCAGTCTGAGAGAAAGAAAAGGCTATGAATATAGCGAGATACCTGCCCATGTTCCAATTTAAAATGATGCCGAAAGTGAAAATCGTGGCCTACCCTGCTGTTGTCAAAGTGGTCGAGTGCGTTTGATATGAACTCGTCCAAATGCCCAGCCACCAGGTAGCTCTACAAGACAGTGTGTAAACAATCGGATGCTAGGTCTTCGTGTTACAGCTTACAAAATGTCCATCAGCACCGCTATGAAGAATACGGCGATCAGTAGAATCCAAAATCCGAGACCGCCGTAAGCATGGAGCATTAAATGTACTGTAGGGACCGTTTAGCCACGACACTTCAACCTAATCATGGACACTTGCTTGCAGCCCATTTTAAGCGCCCTTGAGCTCGCTCTTCATCAATGATGATCTTTCCGTCTGCTTTTGGGGCATCTGGCTTCTCATCAAGGGCATCGTGGACGGTGCCCTTGATTTCTCCCTCCTCTGCCCCACACGGGTTCTCTTCAGTCCTCAGGGACTCGAGCAATTCTGGTCCGGGTGGCCCATGATATTTGATATGTCCGCTCGAATCAAGTTCGAGGATGGTGTCTGCAATTGGTCCAACGAGAGAGATAGCGTGAGTCTAAGACCATATCAGGAGCTATGAGCAAACGACCTTAGAAGAACGTACGACAAGCAGGACCGTCCTGTTCTGTATAAGATCCCCTCGCAGACACTTCTCCACGATCCACCTGGATGTATGCACATCGAGGGCGGAGAGAACGTCATCTAATAAGATGGTTTCGGCGCTGGAATAGAGAGCCCGAGCGAGCGTAATGCGAGCTTTCTGTCCCCCAGACAGTGTTATGCCCTTCTCGCCCACCTGACAGCCGGTCATTATCTATGAACTCGTCTCATCAATAACTGCGAGTCGCACCTCGGTGTTGTCTCCTGCTGCAAATAATGCTAAATCTGGTCGCACAGCACATTGCTCCAATACTGCGAGAGTGTAACTCATTGGCACTGTGTATGAGGATAAATCTCACCAACCGGAGTTATACCTGTGTTCATCATAAGTAGAACCGAAAAGAATGTTTTCCTGAGTCAGATCAATATGGTAGCTATTCCTCCACCGTTCGCCATGACTCACTTTGATCGTTTCGTTCATTACCCATGACTCTTGCACCGCGTACGCAATACCTGCATGCCTCGGCAAGCTGTACCAACCGTTTGGGGTCATGGGCTCAAAATGCATCTCTCGTAGCAGAGCCATCAAGACCGAGGTCTTGCCACTCCCCGTGGGTCTGCGCGTTGTTAAATTATATTTTCTCAATCTCTTGCACTGGACGACCCACCCGATAATCAAATTAAGACCACCTCTCTTGAACAAGAGTTTGCCTTCGAAGTTCAAGCAAAAATTTCTGGTATTGACGGCATCTGTTCTCCTATTCCAAGCGAAACTAGCGTCATGAAATCCAATAACATCGCCATGAGTGGATTCGTCCAGCACAAGCTGACGGGAATCCTGTAAAGTACATGGATCGGCTTCGTAGGCATCCAATAGGGGAGTCTATAGAAGTATCAGCTAGAATAACTCTTGGATGAATACAGGTTCTGACCCTTCGCAAAAAAGTGTCGACTCGGTCCAGAGATACTTTGGCTTAAATGGACATGTTATTGGTAAGTCCAACTTCCACTGGTGGATGTTCATACCGTTTATCATGTCATTGAGATCCCGGGTAATGGCAACCAAGTCCATGCGAAGCAAATCGAATATGCTCATACTAGAGAATACGAGGGAAGCTGCCATTCTATTAGTAAAGACACGGATCGACAACAGACCGAACTGATCGGCTTACCGTTGAGAGCGTTGTGAAACACGAGCGTCTATATAGGCGGTAAACTCGAGCATTTGTGCAATGACCTGAACACTTACATAGACTCCATAAGTTATGAGCATGCTCGAAACGGGAAGCAGTATGCTGTCAGATGTACGTTTAGAATCGTCCCGCGAGTCCAAGATAAATGTCCTCACTTGGTGTTGCCAATGACTAGCTCCAAAAGGCGGCGCTTTCGTGTGAACCGAAGCTCCTCTTTCCTCGTATTCTGAATTCGCTCTTTGACCATAGACTCCCAACCGAACATCTGAGACTTCATTAGAATCACATTTTTAGAAGAACGTCCAGTCCGACCTTGATCATGCGAATAATGCTGAGGGCTGGTGTTACGTTTAGCGTGGGTAATCAGGCAGAAATGGTTTGGCACGTACACTCTGTCACAGCTTTCACTCGGCCGTCTGTCTATGGGGACTCGCAATCAGATCCTGAAAGTCTTCATACAAAGTTTCGAACCTTCTGCATCTACATTTTCTGTGTGTCGGCGATACGTTTCGTCAACAGACCCGGCAGAGGCAATGTTACCACCAAGAATATCATGCCGATAATCGCAGACCAGCCCAAAACGGTGGTCAGAAACCAAATTGAGGAGATGAGCTCGAGTGGCAATTGGAGGAAGAAAAATACAAATTCCCTTCCATCCAAGATGGCTGGTATGTCGGCGCCGATTAGAGTATTCACATTCACTACACCTGCGTCCTTCCTTTTATCTTCATCAGACGACAGTGTTGATTCAGAAGCAGACGGTCCATTAGATGATGGAATATCATCGGATGGCGCAGGAATACAGACGCGCATTCTCAAAGATTGTGCGAAGATAAGCTGAAGGAGAAGGTTCTCTGTGTGGACGAAGATCCTATTCTGGTCAACATGTACGACTCTGTTATCAAGAGACAAGTTTGTCGTTTGTAACAACTCACAGTGACGTAAAGATAACCATTCTCCCCCAAGGAGAACAACATCCGACTGATGAATATAAGAAGAATCCAGACCCTACGATAGAGCACAATTAGCCGGTCATGGTGTCTGTGGTATTGCTGCCGTACCATGGTCGCACAATGGCATTCTCTCCCCCTGTTTCCAGATAGCGTAGGAGACGATTGATAGCAATTGGACCCAAGAACGTCGCAAGCACATTGATTGTAACAATGAAAACCTGAAGAAATATCCGGGTACCAAAGAACTGCATTATGCCGAAGAATAGGTGCCTGTCTTTGAGACCCAGCTCGCGACGACGCCAAGGGTCAAGAATATCTCTCCCGTGAGCTTCTAAAGTAGTCGATTGGTCATAGTCGGCCAAGGGGGGAAGCGAATCGTGGTGAAGTTGTTCATCAAAGTATGACCGGAATACAAAAGGCTCCAAAAAATAGAATAAATTGATGCCCGCAAGCGAGGCCGTCTGCTCGGGTGGCAGGATACCTGCATGCTAAGTGAAGTTACGTAAGGGATAAACAAGTCAATGCCAATGCTGATGCTCACTTTGGGATCTTCCGGTATGTATGGTGTAGGGATGAAGAGAGGGATGATCACCGCAACCACAGCTAGCAACCCAGCTTCTGTCCAACACAGCCCAGGGTAGTGAGCATCTGAAGGCATACCGCCAAAGATCATCAATGGCCAGATATTACGCCATCCAAATACATAAAGCTGGATAAGTGAGACAACGGCTGCGTTGGCTGTAATAAGCTGGGCCGTCTCCGATCGAAGGACAAGTGCCACTGCACATAAAACTGAGATGTAGGACTGAGAGCATATCAGGGAGGTAAAGCCGGTAATAGCAGCTGACGTACATAGTTGATAATATTGAGCGCATCTATTCGTTGTTGGAAATCCAGCTGTCTATGAAGAGTTGTGGTGTCGGAATGATATATATCCAGGGCCAGTCGAACAGTGGAGAGGATCAACAACCCGACTGTCCCGACAAAGCGTGCAATCTGGAATGCATAAACAATCCTTCCTCCCCTATTACACATAAAGTCCGAAAACAGCGCATGTCGGGATTGTCGATCAGCAGCGGCAGAATAGCCATTTGATGTCATCCATGGTATCTTCCGAAAGGCAGCCTGAAGAATGAGGCATGACGCAGACAAAAGAACGGCATAAGCAGTCATCAAGCGAGGATCCTGCCAGACTACAACGTTTGTGCAGGAATCCATCATCCCTTGCACTCTAACAACAAGGTATGAAAGCAGAGGAACGTAAGCCCTGCGCAGCGAAAACAATGTTGCATTTGACTTTGCTGCGCTGATTTGGATCTCGACAAACGAAGAATTCCGCAGTGCCGAGCATTAGCTTCCGTGATTTGCATGAGGTAATCCGATCACGTGCAATTCTCTTTCTTTAGTGTGCCCGCGGTAATCCGTGCACACCCAGATTAATTTAATTCTAGTCTCCCTCTACGCGATCACGCTGCTTTCTCTCGCAAGCCGGAGAAGATGTTGTGCATCTGCGCTCCCTTCCACCAGGGCTCGAAACATGCTATTTCTTTCAAGGAGAGACAGCGGACTTCCAAATTCTACGAGCTCGCCACTCTCCATAACTATCTTGCATCAGTGTTTGACGTCAATCCCCTCTGTAAGTCTGCTCACCTAAAATCTTGTCGTAATCCATGATAGTTTGTAATCTATGAGCAATCGTGAGCAGAGTCGTGCCTTTGAGCTCTTTCCTGATTGATCTTTGAATCAACTGATCAGTTTCTGCATCGACCGACGCTGTCGCTTCGTCCAGAATGAGAACCTTTGTGCCGCGAACCATGGCTCGAGCCAAGGCAATGAGTTGACGCTGTCCAACAGAGAAGTTGCTACCGGAGCTGGCAACAGCGGTGTCAAGGTTGCATCCGTTATGCTTGCCACCTCCAGATTGGCCGATCAGACCGACAGCTCGGAGAGCGCTATTCAAGGCGACATCGTCGTGTTCTCCGACAGGATCCAGATTTGAACGTAAGTTTCCCGACAATAAGCTGGGATCTTGGGGAATGATCGCCATGTTCTGTCGCAAGGTGTCTAGTCTGATGTTCCTGGTCAAAATTCCATCAAACTCCACTTCTCCCGTGGTTGGTATAAGCCTGAGGAGAGACAGAGCGAGAGAGCTTTTCCCGCTTCCCGTACGGCCGACTATGGAGGATTAACAGGGGCACTTACGGTAAGTAACAGCGTACCAATTCCAATCCGCTCGCCTGACTTGACCTCAAAGCTGACATTTTTCAGTACCTTGGGTCCCTCTTCGGAATATCGTGCTTGAAGGTTGTGTACTTGCAGCGAACCGGATGCAGGCCAATATGCTGGCGGAGGTTGGGCTTCGCAACTCGGTGGTTCTTGTTCAATGAGAAGATAATCCCGAATGCGTTCAACGCTGGCTCCTAGTTAATACTGCAGCACGCTACGCCCGGCCAGCGACTTCACCTGTTCCCAGCGGTCTCCACTTCACTTAGCAAACGCACCCAAAATAGCAGTAAACCCGAGAATCTCAAAGCCATGTTCAACTATCTGTCATGAGATCCTCTAGATACGGATCTGGCTGAAATCACTTACAGCAAACTGCAGAAAGACTGACAAACAACACCGAGAACACAGAACGATTGGAGACTTACTCCGCTGTTGCTAGGTCCTAGTGGACTTCTCAAATACACGAGATAGAAGGCCAGTCCCGACGTAAATACAGCTCCCAGCACGTCCGAACGCACCGCAACCCACCTTCCCGTGACTCATTCGTTTTTAGGCCATGGAGTGAATTTGAACATACCTGTCAAGATTATGAAATGTACGGCATGGGCGAGTGTACTCGTCCAGTCTCTTGAAGAGCTCTTGTCGGAATACCGCTTCCCCTCCATATGCTCTTATGGATACTATAATCGGGACGCGTTCAGAAAGAGCCGAGAAGATCCCAATGCACCACTTACTAATTCCATCAATGGTTGCAGAAAAATGCGTATACAAAGGCGATTGCCATTTAGATATAAGGCGCTACTCATAATGCTCAGCGACTGGAGAGCAACCCCTAAAAGACGACGCACCCGGACTGGCAAGCGTGCAGAAATATAAATCTGCCCCATCAATACTCCGACAATCCCTATAAAGATACCCGGGATGCTGAACCAAGGTGCGAGAATGAGGATAGCTCCAAACTGAATCAGCATGCTGAGACTGAATGATATAAACATATGCAAGTAAGTTATCAGAGGTCCATCCACTGTGCCAATATCCTAGAAGACTTTCAGTTACTGCAGAGTCTCATTAACCCCGGCACCGCATACCTGAGTAAAGCGAGAAATAATTCGTCCCACAGGCGTGACGTCCAGCCATCTGAGAGGAGCGCCGAGGATCCTCTTGGATAAGGCCTCATGGAGCGTTGAGCTGACTCGCAGACTACCATATAAGTATGCCAGGGAAGATAAGGCATAAAAACCTGCATCCAGACCGCAGATAGCGACGAAGATACCGAGATAGCTGAATAATAATCAGCAGGGCCGCATTCCGACCAACTACTGTGCGCTTACAATAATATTGGGATGTTTCTATCAGACGAGGTCTCGTATGCTCGAGCCCAAACACCCAGCCACCATGTCCCACTACTCTTGTCAATACCAATACCAGAGCGATTAAGAAAACTCACATAACGCTGGATATGTATACAAGCAGACAGGTGCCAATAATCAATGCTAAGGTTACATAGCCACCAAATGTGTTGATCAGCAGTTCAACTTCATGATAGTCAGCCTGCAGCCACCGCGATCTGCGTATCGGACACGCACCAGCTGACCATCGAAGGCGACCCGTTTCAAGATCTTCTTCGAGGATAAGTTTTCCTGCTTCTTTCGGCATGGCAGAGTGAAATCTCTTATGTTCGACAGGTTCTTCCTCCTCTGAGGGGTCTCTGACATCATTCTCGTGGGCAGTCGTTTGGAACCCGGGGACTTGAACTAAGGACCTGATTTCGCCAGTCCGAGAGATATTGAAGAGTCGAGATGCCAAAGGAGCCACAAGATCGATGGCGTGAGTCTATTCACGAGTTGATATGCATCTTTCGGATGAAATTTGCTTGTACGCACAGCAATGATGATAGTGCGACCTGCGACAAGATCTCCTCGGAAACAATTTGCAACGATCCAACTAGAAGTGTGAACATCGAGGGCAGACAGAACATCGTCAAGCACAATAATGTTTGCACTGGAATAGATGGCTCTAGCCAGTGCGATACGAGCCTCAGGATTGCCACTTCAGTCGCATCCAGGCTGTTAGGGACGCAAAGTGCTTACCTTTTGTCCCCCGGACAAGGTTATTCCTTTCTCTCCCACCTACCCACCTGAACTTAGAAGTCTGAGGATTCGTAAAATTGTGATTGTACCTCTGTCTGGTCACCTGCACTCAGCAGGGCAAGATCTCTCTCGAGCGCGCATTGTCGCAAGACTGCCAATCGTTTGAGTGTTTCACAAGAACAGGATCACGGTGCATCAACATACCCTCTTTGTAACGCTCTTCGTCATAAGGCTCTAAGAAGACGATGTTCTTCTGTTGCAGTGTAAAGAGACAATAATACACCGCTTGTGGGATGGCGTACCTTGATCGTCGTGTTCTGTACCCATGCCTCTTGCGCAGCATATGCAACACCAAGGTGTCTTGGAAAAGCAACCCAAGAGTCTCGACCTGTTGATTCGATGTGCATTTCACCAAGTAGAGCCAGCAAAAGTGACGTCTTCCCACAGCCAGTCGGCCTTTTTGGGAATTTAGAGGCCTTTCGTGGCAATATGAATGTGGATGCACAAACCCTGTGACCAAGTTCAAACTTCCTTTGTCAAACGTCACGCTGTCGATTTTGAGCGTGAAGTTCTGGTGCGTGGCGTCGTCATCGGAGGCTTGATTGACCCAACTCAGATTCACGTTCTTAAAGCCGATAATTTCGCTGCTCGCGGGTCTCTCGTCCAACATGTCCATAGAATTCCCAGAATTGCTAAACTTATCGAGCAGGGGTGACTATATGAAAGGATCAGCTTAAAATCACTATCCCAACAAGAAACTTACTTCGCGAAGGAACTTTGTCAGCCGGTCCAACGAGACCTTTGCTGGTGAGGACGGTATCATGAAATGTTCCAACCTCAACTGATCGCTAACCTTGCATAATACTTGTGATGAAGAAAGGTACGCTGCCGAGATCCAAGCGAAGAAGATCCAAAACAGCTATGCTGGAAAAGATAATGGCCGCTGTGACATCATCAGCGACGAGATTCTACTGGCGGACATATGCGGACCATCGAGGCTTTTGTGCATGACCAATGTCTATATGGAAAACGTGAGCAGGAATAACAGGACTTGCCGATATAGCACCTACGTGGAAACTGAATGTCACAATTAAGATCAGCACCGGCATCAGGTTGCTGAGGTACATTTAGTCAGTGTTTGATCAACATATCATTAGCAACTTACTTCATGACGCCGCCGAAAAGTTCCAGAAACTTCGCCTTCCGGGTGGACGAAAGCTCATCGGCTCTCAGTTTGTATAGTTTTCCAGCAATCATGCCTTCCCAGCCAAACATCTGCGAGATTTCAGTTGGTCACGAGTAAAAAATGCAATAAGCATCGAGCACCTTGATCATACGGATTATGTTCACGGCTAAGGGTGCAGATAAATAATTGTCTTCGCAACTGAACAGTTACTGCTTACACTCAGTTATTCCCTGTATTCGGGCTTCCGTCTGAAAGATGATGAGTGATGCCGTTCCCACGGTGTTATTGATGTGTACCTTTTGCATTTTCGCTACTTCGACGTCATTGATCCGTTTCGCCAAAAGGCCGGGGATAGGCATCATGGCAACCATGAATACCATTCCGATGATGGCGGACCACCCCAGGATGTCAAATAAGAACCAAGTGCTGATAATAGTTTGAAATGGGAGCATCACGAAGAGAACAAGGAAGTCTCTAGCGCCGAGAATATTGGGGACGTCTGCGCCAATCAAGGTGTTGATTTGCCCTGAGAAATGGGGCGATGGCGAGGGTGGGTTTTCGGCGGGACCATCCAAGGGCTCTATGGTACCAGAAGCCACAGTCTCGGCAATGTTCGCGGTCGCAGTCTCTGAGCCGATCAAGGTTAAAGGAGGGAGATTCTCGTCCTCTGCCACTACGCTTGAAGAACTTGCCTCGGAAGATTGAGGCTTGGAGTGTGACTGAGACGTGTCGGACACGCGTAGTCTGAGCGCATGGCGGAATATCTGCTGCAGGAGAATGTTTTCTGCCCGAACTTGTGCACGTTCCTGGTCACATAATCAATACACAATGTCTTATGCCAACAGTCAAGAGTCTTCTTACGGCAACAAATATGTAGAGTTGACGAAAGAAACTAGAGAAGGCCCCCCCGACGAGCAGTACGACAATCCAAGCCCTAGGCAGGTGTCATTCACGATATTCAAAGGCGGCACGCAACATACCATATATGAACATCAGAATCCTGATACCCATATTGCAATTGCCTTTCTTCTCGTTAGTGACTAAACTCGACCCCTAAATAATCCTCACTGAAGGATGCGCTTCAAAGCGTAGGGCGCCATAAAACGAGACAGCACATCCAACAGCAGATTGCAGCCGAAGAACACGTATTCCCAGAAGAATATCTGCATGAGGCCAAAAAATAGGTGTCGGTCATTTAGCCCCTTCTGGTGTCGTGTGATGGGATCCAGGGCCACGATGCTACTCTTCTCAAGATGGGCGGAACGGTCGTAGTCAGCAAGTGGGGGGAGACTGTCGTAAGGCAAGTCGGAGTTCCTGTATGCAATCATAACAATCGGCTCCATGAAAGTGAAGGTTATGAATGACCAAAGCGAGGCAGTTTGTTCGGGATTAGGTTCAGGGGAAGGATGCTACATGGGAATCAGCACCTTGGTCCTCAATATGGAAAGCACGCACCTCCGGATCAACAGGGACATATTCATGAGGGATCAACCCAGGAATGACCAGTCCAGTAATGGTCACCAAAATGCCCCGGGTATACATCAACCAAGGGGTGTGGTTGTCGATAGGTTCCCCGTTGAGGAACACCAGAGGATATACATTTCGATAGACAAAGACGCCAAATACGATGAGAAGGATGACTCCGGCATGGACGTTATACATTCTGCCATTCCCGGCACACAGTATAACTCCGAGAGAGCACAAAGCCCCCGCGTAACCCTGCGAGTGCTATGCATCAGCATACACGCCAGATAGAACTGGAGAACGTACGATCACTACGGCGGTCATCAACTCGGCCAGAGCAGAGCATGTTAGACCCCAGGCTGTCTCTTCTGCTGAGCCATTGCGAAGCACAACAGCATAGATCGACAGAATAAACAGAGCTGCGGCACATGCAAATCGAGCAATATTGAAGGAAAAGATAATTCCACCTCCGCGCAAGCCTACCAGGCGCCGAATCCCACCAGGACCGTGGGCAATGAGTGTGTCATCGCCGTCTATGCTAAGACCTGAGTTCTCTTTCGCCGACTTCAAATGGTGTTGCGTTTGTGTAATGACCAGAACTAAGAGAGACAGTAGACAAGCATATGCTGGGACAACGCGAGGATCATGCAAGACATGTGAACGCGTGCAGGTCGTCAAAAACTCCGAACTAGAAGGGTTAGGACTGAAGAATCCTTCCACTTGCAGAAGTAGCATGACTCCCGCTCTGAGTAGATGTTTTCCAGTCGGAATGGCTAGCTTTGAGTTCCGGGCTATATAAGCAGAAGATAATTAGGACTGCATGTGGGCAGGTTTACTTTCCGCAGTTCGCAGAGACGCGGCGAAGTGCTTGACCACGTGGTGCATGCAACTGTTATCTTGGGACGCGTCACTGGGCGTTTCGAGAACCAGGAAACCCATGTGCACCTCCAGATGGCACTGAAGGTGAGTCAGATTGGGTGCTTAAGCAGCTTGAAGTAAGGCTGCGGGGCGATGGTTACTCACTCCGAACGACTGCGTGCATCTACTTCCAGTGCGGGCAGTTTAACGCAGCCTGTCGCTCAAACACCTAACCCATGTACCCCATTGTCTCGCAGTTCACATTCGAAAGAAAATCGTCGTTGAAACTGTCGCTTCGTTAACACGCGTTGATGGTGCAGATCTGCATATTTAAGGATGTTTGGCACTAGTTATTGATCACGTTGTGCCAGGTGTTCGTGATCGAGTTATGAACGCGTCCACGGAATCTGTTTGAAATTTCCGATCGCGACTGGCCCCATTCCGTATTCCTCGCCCATACTTGTACTGGCACACTTAGTCTCTGCTTGCGCTCACGAACAGTGGAGAAGAGGTAGCGATAATGGACGTGTCTGGTCTTGTCAATTTGTTCACAGCAACATACTCTGTTGACCAGAATGTGCGAATGACGGCAGAGATCGAGATCCACAAGGTGTGCTCATGCCATGTCCCGACTTTGCTGCTTTCATGCTGACGATAGCTCAGGTGGCATCCCACGAAAGCTTTATACCCGCTGTGATGCAGATTATTAGCGCCACGGATGTGTCTCTGTGAGGAAAGCACAATCGGTTGATACGATAAGGCTAACGGAACCTCAGTGCAACGCGTCAGGCTGCTGCAGTCTACCTCAAGAACAGCTTCACCTCCGGCCTAGGAGAAGATTCCGCCAACACCCAAAAGACCATCGCTGTCCTCAAGTCTTCTATCCTGCCATTGATTGGTTCTTCTCCATCACATTCTATCACCTCTATTTTACGGACAACGTTGGGATACTTGGTGAAAGCAACGTGGCCAGAGGAATGGCCAGAGCTTGAAACGGATGTGCGGAAGTTGCTGGCGAGCGGAAGAGGCCGAGAGATATTTGTCGGCTTAATATCCTTGCTCGAAATGTTGAAGGCATTTCGGTATGTCCATGTTCTCCCTTCGCATCGGTTTTCTTCGATCATTGATATTCCGCAGCTACAGCAGCAGCCCGCATGTAGCGAACGTCACCGCCAATATTTTCCCCTTGCTCCATCCCCTCGCAACCAAGGCGCTCACTGCTCATCCTTCTACCGATAAAGCGGAGATATTACACTTGGTGGTGAAGTGCTACTGGATGTCCATCCAGCAGGATCTCGCCGTGTGCCTCCAAGCACCCGAAGGTATCATGCCATGGGGGTCAGTAGCTTCATCATCTCAACGTCATGCCCATTTGACATCTATCATATAGGACACTCTTCCTCCAGATTGTGTCTCATCAAGTACCTCTGTCTGTGCAGGGTGCGTCACCTGATGATTTAGATGATTTGGCTGGAACGCCATATTGGAAAGCGAAGAAGTGGGCATTTCGTGTGTTGAACCGCTTGTTCAGAAAGTGAGTCTTCAACCACCAGTCATTCAAGCGTTTCATTATTATGGGTTTAGATACGGAAATCCATCTCAATTGCCCGCAATATACAAGAAAGAATATACGCCATTTGCGACCAAGTTCATCGGATTATTTGCCCCCGAAATTCTGCGTCGTTATCTAGCCCAACTCGAGCTCTACGTCAGCGCCCAGCAAAGAAACAATTGGGAACAAGGCTGGATGACCGACCGTTGCTTATGTCTAATTCTTGATTTCCTGACTGAGAGGTGAAGATTTGCTTGCAATTGATTGTACAATCATTACTCAATGTATCATTCTAGCATCAAGCCGAAGTCGACTTGGGAACTCTTGAAGCCGCATGTGCCTGATCTCATCCGGCACTTTGTCTACCCCATCCTCCGGTTCACCACGCGAAGAGCCGAGCTCTGGGAAGCCGATCCTGTTACGTTCGTTCAGGAATCGCTTGGCAACTTCGAGGACCTAGGTTGGCCGGATCCACACGCGTGTGGTTTCCTTCTGGGGCTCGCACGAAGTCGCTCAAAGTCTTCCTATCAAATTATTCTCACGCACATATCGGATATTCTTGGCCAATACCCCGGCTCGCAAGGCCCAGAATCTAAGTATGGTGTTCTGACAATGATTATGGCTCTGGACGATATTTTCGTGAACCACCCCCTATCCAAGGGCCATGTCAATGACATCCTAACCCAGCATATAATACCGGAGCTGACAAGCCCTCATGCCTATATGCGCAGCATCGCTTGCGACGTCATCACGAAGTTTGAGGAGAACGGCGTTTCCTGGGTTGACGGTGTCAGTAATACCGCCTTGTCCCTAACACGGTTGACTAATGGCCTATTATAGCAACTCTTGAATACTTTCCAGATAGTCATGGGTGCCATGCGGGATGCCGAATTGCCCGTCCGAGTGAATGCATCCTTTGCATTTTCCAGTCTAATGGAGCAACCGGAAGGTGTGCTCTTCACCTACAGCAGTTGAATCAATCCTGACTTGCACCAGTACGACCATTGATTGCACCGCATATTGGAGAAATTATACAAGCATTCCTTAAGCTCTCGGATGAGCTGGGGTTGGACACTTTGTCTGCTGCATTGGATAATGTTGTGGCCTACTTCGCCGATGAATTAAAGCAGCTAGCACTTCCGATTATTGTGCATCTGGTCTGTGCACATACTTCTAGGGTGACAATTGTCTGACGACTGTTCAGTGCGGATCCTATAACACCCTTTTCAGTCAGATAGAGGACGCTCGTGCCCTAGGGGAAGAGAACAACGATGATGAGATAACGGATAAGACAATGGCTGCCATAGGGGTTCTTCGTACGATTGGAGTGGTGAGTCCCTTCTTTTCGATGAAACTTGTATTGCTCAACCATGCGCAGATCATCGACTCACAGAAAGATTCCCCGGACCTGCTTAAAGCTATACAAATGACAGTATTGCCTATCATCCTCCGTACCTTAGAGCAGGGCAATGTTGGTGAGTAGGACTAACTTGGAACATGGGTCCAATCAGACTCAATTGATGACAGACATGTTCGACGAGATCTACACACTTACCGATTCTCTCCTCACACAACTAAACAATATATCCTCGTACATGTGGCAAGTCTTCGAAGCAACATACAAAGCATTCAAGATCCTGGCTGTAGATTATTTTGAAGGTGCGCTATACAGCGAGCGTTCATTGTATTATGCTCATATGGTCAGACATGATGCCTGTCATAAGTTTCTTCATCGAGCACGGAGTTCAGGCATTTAGCGAACGGCCCGATTATTGTGCTATGATCGTTGATATGTTCCGGACGATTGCATTTGAAGACAGTGCAGGTGCATGGGACCGCAGAGCTGTCTCCATGATTGCAGAGACTTTCATCATGCAATCACCTGGGCTGCTCAATCAGGTGCGATAGGCAGCAGACTTGTATATTCTTCCCTCTGATGCCGTATTCTAGTCTGTTGCCCAACTTGTTGAAGCAACCATTCGCATACTGATCCTTGACGGCGAAGATTCCCCTCAACGAACGCAAAAAGTCAACGTGTTGCTCTCCCTTCTCGCGGTCTATCCCACGGAGACACTCATTGCACTGGAGGCAACTGAAAAAACTTCTTGGGCATTTGAACAGTGGCTTCACGAAGTACCGAAACTAGCGCGGGTACACGATTTGCAATTGATTATCGTAATGGTTTCCCGGCTGATGGACCTGCCTTCGGAACAAGTACCCCCGCCGGCAGCCAGCTTATGGCCAATCATATTGAGCAACGCCTTGCGTTGTTTCACGGCCCTACCAGCGGCTGAACAGAGTATGCCCCTGCCTTTGCTGTGCGGTGTGTCCACTGATCAAGGTGCAGAGCGGGAGGAGATTGCCAGGAAGCTGCTGGAGGAAGACGTTGATGAGATGGAGGATGAAGATGAAGATGATCACGATGATGCCAGCATGGAAGAGGACGAGGAACATGCATATGACCATGCAGAGGATGAGGATGGTACGTTCAGTCATTGAGCAACATACGGTCACCAACGACAATTCCTACAGGCGATGTGATTGACGAGGAGACCGAGTACATAAACCAACTGGCGGAAGAAGCCGCTCGCTTGCGAGCCAAGTCGGCTGCCATTCTAGCCGGGCAGCCGATACCAGCTTCAGAATTGCCAGATGAAGACGATGACGATGAAGAAGAGGAGGAAGACTGGTTCTTTGAGACTGCCGTCGACAAGGTCGACCCTTACATCAAATTCGCAGCGTCGTTACATGCGTTCCAAACATCAAACCCTCAAGCGTATGTCGCTGCAACTAGTGGGGTCGGGCAAGAGGGTCAGGTCGCTCTGATGGAGATCGGAAAGAAGGCTCTGGAACGCTCCGCCAGTTGAAGTTCGAATGTGTTTTGCCTCGCACATGGGTTTAGTAGTTGTATGTTAGGTCCCGCCTATCCGCGATAATTACATTTTTCTATTGAAGTGCTCTGGGAGGGCGACCGGTTGGAGCAGTGTGCCCGCACCTTGTAGCTCAAATCGGATTGCTCCATGAACGGAGATACTGAACGTTGGAGTATTTTAAGTAGACCAATGCTCTACTCGTAACAGCACCTGGTGGTCCGAAACCTGGTCCATTTACTTTGTCCGAAAAAGTAGAGATATAAATCAAGTCCAATTCCTGCTCCGAACAGGACTAATCCCGAGCGGCACGTAAGGGAGCGGCAGGCATATCCAACCCACTAAGCGCTTCCTCCAACCTCCTTGCGAACTCCGCATCCAGGATTCCCTCTTCTCCGAGCACAGTGGTATCCCCCTGCCCTGCTTCCATCTGCGCCGGACTCCTAGTGCTTCGAGTACTTCGAGTGGTCCTAGTGCTTCTAGAGCTTCTTGTGCTCCTAACACTCCGCCGGCTGCTCGTACTCGCCCCTCTTGCCAATGCCGCCTGCAAAAGCAACACGCTGCCCCTGGTGTTACCGTACTCTGGGGGAGCGGGTCCAACGATCACTTCGTCCTCCACATCTCCCGTACCCTGTTCCCTCACTCCAATGGCAGTGCGGTAGCTTGGCAGCTGAGGGCGGTTCCAAGGCGCAGCATATCGCATGAGGAAGCTTTGGGGACTAGCGTCCTCTCCCTCCCCCATGCCGGGCTCTGTCCCTTCCTCGCTGTCTCTGGAACCCCAACGTGCATGGTGGAACATCGCACCAAGTGCGCTCCCTGCTGTGGCTGGTGCGAATCCAGGGAGACGGTACTGTCGCCGCTGTTGGATGAGCTGAAACAGGAGGCGGTCAAGCATGAGCAATTCAAGGATCGAGCCAATCGTGAATGCCACATGAAGGAAAACAATGCCGGAGAGCATCATGGCTTGCTCGCTTCCCATAGCGGTGCCATCGGTGTTCGAGCCATCGGTGTTGCTCCCAGCAATAGGGAGGGTGCTGTTGTCGAAGCCGACTGTGGTGTTCGAATTTCCCGTAAGCGGAGTGACGCCGGCTCCCCCATCTAGGCCAGGGTTGGTAGTATTGAACGACGTTCCGTTTGCCCCGAACGGGAGCGTCATATTGCTTGGCATCTGCTGGTCGATCTGCGCCGTCACGGGTTGCGTCTTGTTCCACGTTGATCCTGCCTCGGCAAGACCTGCATTCCCATTTCCCGCAGAGTTCAAGCTGCTGGCGGTGGGAGACGATCCGCCAAAATGGATCGAGGCCAAAGCCCAAGCAGCGATCGTTCCTGGAAACGCCAGCAGCACGATAAAGAAGAAGGCGAGTGTCTTGACATGCAAGCCAAACACTGTGTACACCTTCTTCTTCCTTGATGCTGTTGAGCTAGCATCGGATAGCCGTCTTGACCGGGGGATGAGGGCGTTCAAGATGCGCGCTGGTGCTGAGCGAGGTGTGGTGGTAGGCGAGGGCTGGGTGTGAGAAGGTGTGGCAGGCAACGGCGTACCTGGCGGTGGGGGTGTGTAATTCAGCTCGCCAATTTTGCGTGGGAGAGCAGGTGCTTCGAATAGCGGTGGCGCTGAGGAAGGTCCTGCGGCAACTGGGGGAGGGGTGACGGGGAGAGAGATAGAGAGCGGGGGAAGGGCTTGTGAGGTGCCTGGCTGATGTGACGAAGGCGACATTTGACGTGCAGCCGTTTGAGATGGGGTAGGAGAGAGCGGCGGGGATGAGCGCGACGTCGACCGACTAAGAGAAGTAGTAGGCAGCATATTCGTGCTTTTCTTATGCCGGGTTGAACAATGCAGGATACAACGGCAAAGGCAGTTCCTTCAAACAGCCCACGAGCTCCAGATACGAGTCAATATGTCAAGAAACCAGCGTCAACGTCGGTGTCGTGAACGAATGTGTATCGTTCTGAAATGAGACAGATCCACTTGTCTCGGTGTGCGATTCCTATCGTGTCGGTTGTCGAGTGTGTTGGGGAGACCGTGCTCGCACTGCGAGCTCGTCTGCGAAATAGTGTTGTAGAAGATAGTATAGTATGCGATATCGCACTGCCAGCAGTCGGAATTCCTCACTCAATAGCTTGCTTGCCGGGCAGAGCGCAGAGGAGGTGGTCGTCACAGGCAGAAATGGGACGAGAAGGGGAACAGGAAGCTGGGCGTAATCAGAGCATGTTGTTATTATCATCCAGCCACGCTGGAGCTGCCCACTGTTGACAATGGCCTTGGGAGCCGCCAGGTCTCGACAACGACGACGACGATGGGGACAGCCGTGACAGCCGTTAATGGCAAACGAGGCGACGGTCGCCTTGCCATCGTGCTTCGTCATTCTTCACAACGACTCTCAGGGTCCAACCAGGGCAAGACATCACGTGATCGATTCAGCCTGACCCCTTGTTCGAGGTACCCCTTGCCTACCAGGGGTTAGGAATAAATGACGCGACCCGTGTTGTAAGACACTTTGAAGTAGATTCATCAAGGCTGGTTCATAGGTTACGTGCTGCTTCGGTTCGATAAAGACACATGACCTCATCACCGTCCGTACTGCCCAGGTTCCAGAGTGTGGGGTTTCCCACGGCCCTACCCTTACCTCTACTCCCGGAGGAGGTGACAATCATTTTATTTTATTTCGACAATCCTTTACAAACTGATAACAACCTGGTACAGAGATGGAGAAACAACTACGCTGCCGGCTTGCGGCAGGTTATGAGGTTAGCGCACATGGGCATAGTGACCTGTTGGCCCTTCCCAAACTCTTCCTGCAGTTGGCTCAACAGCACGGGCGCGATCTCGTCTGCGTATTCCTTCTTCTGCTCATCCGTCCACCAGCGCGTAGCAAGCCCGATGAACATACTTCCAAAGACGCGCACTAGGAACTCGGGGCTCTCAATCTTGCCCGCCTCCTTGTGCACCTGGATGCGCACGTCGACAAACCGCTGCTCTTCCAGGACTTGGCAGATGAAGCTCTCCTGATCCCACCGACCCGTGTCCATAAAGTTGCTGATCTGCTCTTGGGTGGGGAATGGCGGGCAGTTAGGGATAGCACGGAAGGCGCGTTCGACCCAGGCGACCCAGCCAACTTCCACCCAGGTGCTGAAAGCGTTTAGTCCGCCGGGAGCGAGGATCCGATGGATCTCCTGCAGTGCCAGGATAGGCTTAGGGAGGAGCATGATTCCGAAGGAGGTGAGGACGTGCGTGTACGTAGAAGAGGGGAGCTTAGTGTCCTGCTTCATTCTCAGCAACCCAGAGGGATAGTGCGTAAGAGCGAATGACACGCACCTGGGCATCAAGAAGCTTGACTTCAACACCCTCCCATTTCTCCCGCTCAATCCTTTCGGTGACATACTTCACCACCTCTGACTGGATGTCTCCACACAAGACCTTGGTGCGCCTCTTCTGTTCCTCCGACATCCTCCCCAACAAGATGGCGGTGACGATCCCAGAGCCGCACGCGTTGTCTAGCACCACAAGGTCCTGTGGCGTCGAGGGAGGGACGGCGGCAGCGTCCAGCAGTACCTTTGCGAACTCGCCGGTGACGAGTTCTCCAGCGCGGTGACGATCTTCGATGTGGACGGTAGTGTCCTGCCAGGTGTGAGGCTGGGTGGGAGCGGGAGTAGTAGTCGACATTGTTGGTGCGGTAACGACGAAGGATGTTAAACGGGGTGGCTGAACTCGGAGGGTAAACCTCTTGATGATGTTGAAAGCCAGTGCTTCGATGCTTTATTGGTGTTCATGAAAGCGCCTCTTTATATACGCCCAACATGTTGAGGAACGTCTAACATAACGGTACCCTCCAAGTCCGCTCGGCTCCGCTTACGGCACAACTTGAGACCGCCACGCACAGATGAGTCGATCCGATACACTGCCAAGATCAGCTCTAAATAGCAACGAGTATGTCAGCAAGTAAGCAAAACAGATCATTCAGGAAGTTGGCACCTCGTGCACGTTGGATACACTTTCCGTTATAGACGGAGGAACGGTCCCCGTCCCGTCAGGCTAACAACGGGGCAACTTCGAAGAGCGTTCAAGCAACGTGAGCACATTCCTGATCGCCCCTTCCAGAGGGGCGGTGCAAACGCAACTCGGGACAATCACCAGTACATCTCCGTCCAGCATGAAACGTATCCCGATGAAAGTCTATGATACAATAGGAACCATTTGGTCGCTGCAGGACGTTACGAGCGGCTATATCGTTGTGTGCGACTCCATGCTGATGAATCCGACGTAACAACGGCCAGATCTCCTCCCTAGCAGGTGTCAGTTTATAATCAACAAGAAGAATGGTGATACACTGACTTATTCATGTCCTGCTTCAGCACGGTTCGACCCTCGTAAGACAACAGAAGCAGAAGACCATTCATGTTTTCGTAAAGACCATAAAAAGTGGGCACTGCCTGTCCCCACTCATCCTTCAGCATCTTGTATGCACGGGCTTCTTTTCGAATGGCCTCTTCTTCTTCTTCATCTCCCTTCCTGACCATCTTACCCACGACATGGATCTCATTCCACATGCCATCATAAGCTTTTCCTAGAAGTCCTCTTCCAATAAGGGTGCGAAGCCTGATGGAGTCGTCTGCTGTCGGATGATGTTCAGGCCAGTCAATTACCTTGAATGGCAGAAGACCTCTGCTCATGCGAATATTGATGATCGGTGGCATCATCCCCACCGGCGTGTCTGTCATCTTTTCGGCCTCATTGTCAATGACACTGATTTTTCCATCTCCGGTCTTGCCCCCTACTACTGTTGGTGATAATGACAAGGTTCGGCATTTGACAGTCGTTTGGACCTCTCGGGGAGTGGCGGGCGACTTTTCCTCTTTGACTTTCTCTGATGACTTGATAGGCTTTGACGTTTTGTGAGGTTTTGGTGGCGCCAAGTCCGATGCCTCGACTTGCTCTCCAGTCCTCTTGGTGCCAGACTTAGTGATCTTCTGCAATAATTCGGAATGAGGCGGATCGGAGCCCCCGAACATGGTGATTAGCGGGTCAAATGTCTCCAAAATTCTTTCTTGAATTTGGGTATCCACATTGCCCCATTCATCTTTGGTAGGCCCATTGCGTCCGATAGCAATGCGGAGCAAATGAAGACCCATATAGGCGAGCGGGCGCATATCGCCCTAGAATAAATTCAGGTACTGCTGCATATCTAGGATGTAGATGAGACGTACCGGAATAGGATTCCCAATTGCCATCTCCGACAACCCACGCGGAGGACAGGAATGAAAAGGTGGTCCGATATCAACGATACAAATGGATATGCTTGAACTAGGTGATTCCAAGCCTTTGAGCTGAAAGTTAGAAATGTGCAGTAGTAAAACGATGAGACATGCCGCACTTGGAGATACATAAGTTCCCAGGACTCCATCCTGCGTTCTTCACCATCAACCCTCTTGAAGACAGTTCGTGAGCCGCGATGGTCCTTGTCATGTGGGATCGGATATGAGAACAATAAAGATGAGACTTCGACACCATTCGGGAGTGTCCTGGTTTGCACCTTCTCCGATTGCCAAGCTTTGTCCATACTGGCGTGGGCCGTGTCAATCACATCATCCCCCTTCACCTCAATACAAAATGCAATCTTCCAGTCGCCACCCTCGATCCCTTCATCACTTGGAACGGCAGATTTTAGGATAGCTCGATCGATGGAGCCCCCAGTCACGCAATACTCGGGTTCGAACAGGTATCTCGATCTTGTGAGACTACCCAGTACTATATGGGTTGGCGAGAGGATATATCGGTCAATATGAAGCTCAACCGAGCATTCTCTTGATCCGAGGGCGTCAAAGGCGATCCCGGGTGCCCAGACTTGCCCTGGATCGAAGAAGTCGGTCTGGGGCTGATCTTCGGTTCGTCTCCCAGAGACGAAGTCTAGCACGTGCGCAGCATACTAGGCCATCTTATCGAGTCTATCCCACCTAGCGATGGTGTAGAGGTGGTACTTGCTAGCAAGATCTATTCGACTTGGTTGGCGGGTGTTAGGCGCAGATGAGATGTATGGGGTTGGGCCAGGATCTAGCGGCGGTATGGCACCAGACAGCAGTCCAGACCACGTCTTGGGAATATCGCCCTTTGGTTTGGGGGCCATGGGCGAGGGCCATATCTGTAGCCCGCGTGTGGTGAGACGTCCATAGGATCTGCAGGTCTGTGCGAGCAGTTTAATTCGCAATCCATTCGATAGTGTAGAGGTCCACATGGTCGTCAAAGATCCAATCACCAACACGTGTCAATTCCTGGGACCTTGAGGATAGTCAACCGCTCCGCGCACACCCTGGGCAAGTGCAAGATATTAGTATAGACGGAGAAGAACGGTCACCGTCGGGCTAACAACGGAGCAACTTCAAAGAGAGTTCTGGTAACGTGATCACGTTACCATCAGAGAACCCTTGCACCGCCACTTAACGCCCGCTTTCTTGCTCAGCGCTTGTTTCGCCACTTTTACCACCTCTCTGGTCATCACCACCTTATAGCTGAACTTCGGATGGCATCTGACGAGTCAATCCAATTCTGCATCGAGTGGTTCGTCTCATTCCATTGATTGAGATATATCCCCTGATAATACTATCCCCGAACAGTAACAACCTCCTCTACCCACGCGCAGACAAGGACCGTCATGTGCTCCTCTACGCCTGCAGGAACTGCGACTTCGAGTACCAAGCCACAGATCCATGTGTGTACAAAAACGATCTGTTCACAGTGACGAAGTGCGCTGCTGTCTCCTCGTTTGCGGACTTGTTCTGACACTTGGACAGGGAGCAGTCCGGTGTGACAGAAGATGTGAATAAGGATATCACCCTCCCTAGGGATGCGGATGTCCTTTGCCCGAGTTGTCATTCCGAAGGGTGTGCATCCTCTTCTTCTGCGTCGAGCAGGTACTGACTACAGTACAGAGCAGTGACTTACCAAGACCAAGGCAAACGAAAAGAGACGCGGATGACACTGTTCTTCATTTGCCTAAAATGCGGGCACGCGTTCGTCGACCCGAACGTACCGCAATGATCGCTCTGCTTTCCTCTGTTGAGGGCACTACGGTGCTTTGTGTTTGTCGTTTCATTCACTGTACACTACCCACATCTAGATTTAAGGATTTTTAAAAACGTTATAGCCGGCTCTTGCTATCGTCTAGCTCTCCCGGCTCGGGACGCCAAGGTTCCGCCCACCCACCACGCACACTCCCATCCTCGACGCTCCTCCACCACCGCGAGATCGTCTCGTTTACTTCCTCATAATGCTGTCTTCACATCAGACACATCTCCCCATATCGGTATTAGAACGCACCCCTTTATGATTATGGTCACTCTCCTCAATAAAGTACATCGTGCTCGTCCCCTTCCCTCCCTCCTCCCTGCGTCTCTCAAACACCCGCGCATAGATAGCCCCATCATAAGGCGGCACCACGGCATCCTTCATCCCATGCACAGTAAGCACATGCACGTCCCCCGGGAATTTGCGTGCAACAGAGGCAGCGTCGTATGCTGCGAAACGGTCGATGTCGCCGACGTGCACTCGGGCGACTCGGGGACGGCCGGCGACGTTGTGATGCCAGTCGTAGTACCCTTGGGAGGATAGGAGTGGAATCATATGCTTGGAGATGTCTGCGGGCAGTGAGTTCACGTTACAGCAGTAAGAGGGGAGCATACCGCGAATCTTGTCCATCCTGTACCGACCACTGACGTTAGCGAACCCGGTTACAGAATGCGCGTTCTCCTCATCCTCAACAACCCATTTCATGCCTACAATACTGCCCCTCGAGTGCCCCACAACAAGCACGACTCTCCATCCCTTCTCCTTTAGCCACCGCACAACAACCTTAAGATCCTCAACGTCCTTCCCGAACCCTGCGTAGTCCCATGGTGGCCCCGTGGAGGCGTTGTTTGACCGGAAATCGAAGGCGAAGCTGTCGATCGAGATGTGCGAAGGGAGGGTGCGTTGGTAAAGGTAATGTCTATGTCCTAGGGCACCATGCAGGATCTAGAGTGGAGATGGGTGAATATCCTGCACACGGGGAAGGAACGTACGAGTGCGATTGGACGGCCTGGATCGGGGGAAGTGTGCGGTGGTAGACGGGTGTGGAGAGTGCCCTCGATGTACCACTCGGAGTGGTCGGGGAATGGGATCCGATACACGGAGTTGCGCATCCTCCTTCGATCCTGTCTTGTTCAACGGACAAGGAAAACAGCAGCCAGCGCTGTGGTGGAAGTGCGATATCGATGGTAGGGTTTCGTTGCGAATCGGGTCAATATCGTAATCACCGATGCCGTCCCTTATAAGTGCCAAGAAGATTAGCTCTTTCATATTCAACCAACATCGTATTTCACCAACATCTGGGACGATCTATAATGGGAAAAGCAGATCACTTCGGATCCGATATTCTCCACCATCTGATAGTTTTCAAGTCTTCTCAACCCGCCCATCAATCTATCATCAGCTGTTCAAACGCGAAAACTTTCCCGCGTCCAACGCTTTGGGCGGTAACGCCGTTATGTGGGGATAAAGACATCGGCCGAACTCCACCCGATGTCTTCGTATACAGATCGTCGGGACGCACAGAATGAGCGGGATATACAGGATCCTAAGTTCTTAATTTGGGCGTTGTCTGCTCGACGCAAGGTGAAATAGCAACACATGGAGCGTGCTTCTTGCTTCCCGCTCCCTAGCACCCGCGCTGCTTCTTTCAACGACCTGGGTCTTCCTCGTGGCCTGCACGGGGCAACCCGCATATATCAATCCGCAGTCCGCCCTCCGAAGCGTGTGCATACATACGCTTGCCATTCCCCTTCCTGCTCACTCCTTGCCTCCCTCCATTTCACCAGTCGGTTTCTACGTGCCCTCGTGCACCGCCCAATACCACTTCATTAAGCATATAAACCCCTTCTGCTCGTCTTGAGCCCCTCAAGCCCACATCGACAGAGCAGGATGACGACCCGCTCGCCGGTGGGCGAGTCTACAGGCACGTCTTTCTCCCTTTTTACTCCAGAGGAAGAAGCAGATGTCTTACGCGCACTGCCGGTTCTTTCTTATCCCCATCCTGATCCTCATGATCCTACACGCTACCGCTCACTTTCGATACGCGACTCGTTCTCCCTCCCATACCGACTTCTACCACCGCGTTCTCCGACCCCTTCCAAACCCAAACGACGACGTCGACACTCTCTACTCGCCTACATCCCATCAGTGCACAGCACGGCCACTCACAACTCTGCCGACGCATGGCAGATGCCTTTACACAACAAAGACCGGCTCTTCCTTGTGCTTCTCCCCACTGTCGGCACTTCAGGAGAAGAAGAATGGGCGCTACTTTTGACCCCTAAGCGGGAGAAGAAGGGCGCACCCGAGTCCACCTTGTTCCGCGTCTTCTGGGAAGAGACGGAGAAGGGACCCTGGCTGTCATATCATTCCAGGACAGTCGATGCGACTGCCCTCCCTATGCTCGCTCGCTGGCTGTTGCTCAAGATTCGCCCTGGGCAACAAGAGTTCTTCGACGACGAGCTTTCTTCGGTGGATATCCTGCAAGAGAAAGGGTGGCGGAGTCGGGGGTGGGTGGGGAGTTGTCTTAGCAGGCTAAGAGAGCTCGGATTCGGGGAGATCAGAGAGCCCAAGGCGGTCGAGGAGGAAGTCGGGAGGTGGAGAACCGCTGTCTGGGACCGGGGAGGGCGGGCAAGAGGGGAGACAGTCGCCGATTTGCGGTTGAGAAGCTGACCTGCTTTTTGCCTTTCCCGCCCTGGTTCTGCTGCGCTCTTGCGATGCAACGAATACTAACCATTCATGCTGCCTATGATTGTTATCCACCTCTTAATTCCTGCATGTTTGATAGATACCTTACAGTACTGTAGAACGTCAATTGATTGCACACGATTCCTGGCGAAAAATAATCATGTGACATGGGTCTGTCTCGGGATGGGCAGCCTCGCACTGCGGAGCACCTGTGGGCGCCTTCAGCGCGCCCGTCGTACAGGAGGTGATGATGAGCGAGTTCCTACGAGCTTTGCATGGAAGTTTACTCTGGGGAAACACATTGGGAATATGGCAAGTTGACGACCTCCTAACGAAAGCCGCCTGCCTCCTCAAGTTCTCCGGCATTCAACATCGTTCCCGAGCCGAACAGATCTTCCGGGATTGCATTTTCAACAAAAGCGGACAGCTCATTGGCCTTATCTATGACTCATGAGGCGATGCAAGCCCGAGCTTGTCGGACGATGTATGTATGGTGGGCGCCTGAAATAGCACAAGGACATATGTCGATGCCGGTCTTGGGATGGCCGCGTAAAGCGCGGAGTTATGAGGGAGAAACGACGGTGTAGGGCTTAGTGGACATTATATTGCTAGGGAATTGTTATATTGATGCTATGATGCAATTGTAATAGTTAACGATTGAAATATTGAAATAAGATATCAAAGTGTTCAAATGCGTCGTTATCGCGAGCATGCGGCGACGCGGGGTGTGACGCGTTCCATTCATCAGAAGACCTCGCGCTCACTCAAATGATTCATCACTTGCTGGAAGTTCCCCGTTCTCCGCTGCACTGCCAAAGTCACCAGAAGGAACGTGTGCTTGTGAGGTGGTGGTGGACTTTTGACGACGACCGCCGCCAGCGCGTCCTTTGGCTCTCTCACGTACAACATCCATCCAGCTGCAGGTGCTGCTAACCCTCGTCATTCATTCCTTTCCCTGAGACTGTAACAGGAATGTCGGAGCTCGATGCGCTGGAGCGCCTTCTTGCCCGGGTCTCGCAGTCCGGCATGGGCAGCATGCACGCCTTTGACTCGGGCGACGGCTGCAGCGCCAAGTCTATATGGCTCGATCCACGGTTTATCCCCGCCTACGCCAGCGCTCTGCTCCTGCTCCTATTTTCCAATAGGAGTAGGAAGCCCCAACCCGCGCCCCTCTCCCTATCCGAACCCGAATCCAGCCTGCTTAACCGCGCAAACGAGTTCGTGAAGCTCCGCGGCGGCTGGGTCATCTATGTCTTCAACGTTGCCCGGGTGTTTGGTGCGAGCGCCCTTGTAGGGCTCACCATCGCTGCGGTGGTGCTGAGCAGCGGACAACGACCGGAGGTGGTCAGTGGCACGGACGCGCAGTTCCCGTTGGGCGGTGGACAGAGATGGGACCGGATGTGGGACTGCACTGGCAGGGCAGAGGTCGCCTTGCTGGTCGCATACGTGGGTACCTTTGTCTAAGGCTATTGATGGCAAGCTGAAACTGCATAGGCCTATGCTACTCTACTCTCCCTCCTAGCCCTCGTGCTCACCGGCGCCGCTCGAGCCTCATGCTCATTCCACGCTTCCTGGATCCTCTTCATCCAGTTCCTCGTCTTCTTCTGGCGCAATTTCCTCCCTCTCACCACTTTCACCGGCATTCCGGCAGACAACACGCTCCCCTGGCTGCTCTGGACGCGCGGGTCGTTCGTCGCCCTCGTTGGGCTTGCGATCCCCGCACTCGTACCGCGCATGTACGTGCCTTTCGACCCCTCCAACCCCGCCCCCAAGCCTGCACCCGAACAAACAGCCTCCATCTTCAGCTTCATGTTCTTCCTCTTCCTCGAACCGATCGTGTTTACCGCCTGGCGTGTCCCGCAACTCCCGTACGACCGCCTGCCACCCCTGCCGGATACGGACTGGAGCGATAACTTGCGTGCGCGCGCGATGGACAAGCTCGACCCTGTGCGACGCAGGGATATGGGAAAGCGCGAAAGGCACATCTTCTTCGGACTGATGGACGTCTTCCGCTGGGAATATACGCGCATGTCTTTCTTCCTCGTCCTCGAGGTGATGTGCCGTTTCCTCGGGCCCATCGGTATCAACCGCCTGCTTACGTATATGGAACATGACGGAGAAGGCGCGACAATGCGCCCATGGGTGTGGATCCTGTTCATGTTCCTCGCACCGACGCTCAACACGCTCGCATTCAACCTGTACATCTTTACCAGCACGCGTATGACCGTGCAGGCTGAGAACGTCCTCACCCAGATCATCTTTGAACATGCGCTCAGAGTGAGGCTCACAGACGAATCGATCATCTCTGCTTCGCCTGCCCCCACTCCGGGAACTAGCACGCCCGGGGCACCCGAAGATGGTGCGGAGACTCCTGCTGCTCATGCACCCAGCGCCTCAGGTACCGAGACGGCTACGTTAGTGGACACAGAGCGGGATGCGGAGGAGGGTAGCAGCACTCCACCTTCGGCTCCTCCTGCTGCACCGGCGAGCACGAACGGCACAGACAAGGGGAAGGACAAAGATCCTGGCAAGGACAAACCTGACGCTGCCGCGCCCTCTGCACCGCCGAACACAGCGACGCACCTGTCTGCCAAGATTAATAACATCTTCGGTACCGATATTGGGAACTTGATCGATGGTCGCGACTTCCTCTTCATGATTCTCGACTGTCCGTTCGAGGTGATCCTCTGCATTTGGTTCCTTTGGGTGATTCTCTCCTGGGCGGCGGTCGTTGGCATGTTGTTTATCATCATCACCCTGCCAATCCCCGGCATGATCGCGAGTCGCATCCAGGACGCGCAGAGGAAGATGATGCAGAAGACAGATCTGCGTGTACAAGCAATCACGGAATGTATGCGTTCCTCCGATCAATATACCGTCGATCTGAACTGACTCGATACTAGCCCTTGGCATCATCCGCATGATCAAGATGTTCGGGTGGGAGTCGCTCGTTAGGGGTCAGGTTGGTACTGTTCGTGACGAAGAACTGTACTATGTCCGGCTCCGCAAGATCCTTGGCATGCTGAACAACATCATCAGGTACGCTGTCATATCATGGTCTGTCGCATATAGCCTAATGTTTTTGCAGTGGAATGTTGCCAATGATTACCATGATCATTACTTATGCTTTCTATGTACGTCGTCTCATATATCGATATGGCAGAGACATGCGCTGATGGCAGGATAGACGTTGGTATTGGGCAAGGAGCTCGATGGTGAGCAGACCCACTTGTATGGGTGAAGAGCTACGTGCCTGACTGCCTGAATACAGCTGCGCGAGTGTTCTCCAGTGTGCCGGTGTTCGACACGCTTCGCCATGACATGGCTGGCGCTATCATGATGCTGACGAACATTATCAAAGGTATGCCTCCAGAAACATAGGCAAGAATACCACTGAATAGCTTCCAGCTAAGGTATCTCTGGACCGGGTTAGCGATTTCTTGCGTTCGGTAAGTGAACACAACATAATGATTCCAGACATGTCGTTCACGTTACTTTCCCAGAGTCGCCTGTTGGATAGATACCGCCCCAAGACCGCCGAAACTGCGCTCGTCGTCGCGCCAGCAGCAGAGACTGACGTCGTCGGCTTCCACAATGCCACTTTCACCTGGACAGACCCCGCCGATGGCTCGCTCAAACCTGGCCAGCGTAATTTCCGTCTGCATATTCAGGATCTCGTCTTTAAGAGCGGGGAGATCAACGTTATTGTCGGGTGAGCACTTCCTGCTTGATTCAAAGTTGGAGGCTGACTAGTTTGCAGTCCAACTGGTTGCGGAAAGACATCTATCCTGATGGCACTCCTTGGAGAGATGCACTTTGAGCCGCAGGGGGTTGACTCTTGGTTCAGTTTACCGCGTGGGCGCGGACTCGCGTACGCTGCGCAGGAGTCTTGGGTACAGAACGATACCATCAGGGTAAGCGAGCTTTTCCCCATAACTGAACTCGACTGATTTGGCATCCCACAGGCAAACATTCTTTTCGGGAATCCTTATGACGAGGTTCGGTATAAGAAAGGTGAGCCACATAATTCCCATGTGGTATTGTCATTCACCTTTCTTTTCAGTGTTATATCAATGTGGGCTGGAACCTGACCTGACGATGTTCAATGCCGGCGATGCGGCAGAGGTATGTCTTTGATCCTCTTCCAATGCTACATCTCACGCCTGAGCAGGTCGGAGAGCGTGGTCTTACCCTTTCTGGCGGTCAAAAGGTCCGCTGCAGTCTCCTTCCTGGACCTCCTTTCTTTGTTTGCTAAAGGGTCTACTAGGCACGAATCACCCTCGCCCGTGCGGTCTACTCTCCAGCCCAGACCCTCCTTCTCGATGATGTGGTCTCTGCATTGGACGTTCACACTGCTCGCTGGGTTGTTGACAAATGTCTGCAAGGGGATCTCATCAAGAATCGCACGGTCATTCTCGTTGTGAGTTCATTCGTTGTGCAGAATTCACTGCGGTCTTGATGCTACCCTTTCAGACCCATGCTGTGGCTCTTATTGCACCGATCGCAACAAATGTCATCTCTCTCAGCACACACGGACGCATTCTCAGTCAAGGACCTTTAGCTGCGACCCTCACCTCGGACGCTGCTCTGAGGGAGGAACTCAAGGAAAGCAAGGACGCGATGAACGTTATCGAAGCTCTTCCTGGGGATGAACAGAAGCCGGCAGACAAGAGCTCAGATGGAAAGCTCATCATCAAGGAGGAGATGGCTGAGGGGAGGATCAAGTGGGCATCAGGTAAAGGCCATACTCCATCCATCCCGGTCTGAGCTAATGATTACAGTCAAACTTTTCACGGATGCCTTCGGGGGTCCCGTATATTGGATTCTGCTTACCTTGGGTTACGTCATCATCCTCAGCTTGGATATCGGGTATGATTTACCAGCTATACAATCGGATATTCTGCTGAATTCTACAAAGGGGGACCTGGTGGCTTGGTCGCTGGTCGGCTGCGTACGAATCCCCCTCCAGCGGGGTCAATGTTATATAGTAAGGGACGATTCTTTGCTGCGCCGTTCTCGGATACTAATGAAACAATGTAGCTACTTGACTGTCTTTATTCTCGTGATCATCTTTCAGGAATGCACCTGGCTCATCATGCAACTGGTCCACGCACTCGTCAGCATTAAAGCTTGTCGTCGCATTCACAACGCCCTCATGGACAGTGTCCTTGCATCGACGCTCCGTTGGATTGACAGCACGCCTGTTGGCAGGATTGTATCCAGGTTCACCCAGGTAATGTATCAACACCATTGAGCATGCTGGCTTACTCAAGGGTGTCAGGATGTTCGGGAAATTGACGGGTCACTTACTGGACTTGCACAAGTCATCTTACAGCAATCAGGTGCGCTCTCACGACTGCCGGCTGTCTTTGTCCTCACCTCATAACAGTCTCCCTGATCATGAAATTCATCGTCATCATGGTGATCTCCCCAATCTTCAGCATCCCCGGCGCCCTCATCATTGTAGCTGGTCTGACTCTGGGTCAAATTTATATCGCGGCTCAGATGTGCGTCAAGGTAAGTTGGCGCACCGAGTTCTCGGAGATAACGCTAAAGTGCGTCATTTCCAGCGACTGCGGTCGAACTGGCGTTCGCCGTTGTACAATCATTTCAACGCGGCTGTGTCCGGACTCAGTGTGTAGTTTCGACCCACTCGATGTGACTTAGACCGACCACTATTCTAGTCTCCGTGCGTGCCTATGGAGCAGAGGAATCGTTCAAGGCCGAGCTTCGGCAGCGTGCTGATGCTTACTCCCGTCCCTCCCGAACGTTTTATAACCTCAATCGGTTTGTCGACCCAATACAGAAAAGGATGTGCTTCCCGACTAATACTGTGCAGGTGGATCAATACGCGAGCTGATTTACTCGGTGCCGCGTTCTCATCTGGGCTTGCGACATACCTCTTGTATGTAAGGGCACGAATTGGGGCGAGCACAACAGGGGTATGTCCAAGTCAGATCAATTGCTTATAGATGCCGAAAACTGACATTGCTCTAGTTCAGCGTGCGCTATGACATTTGTTCATGAGAACATGACCTAATGTTTCATACAGCTGACTATGGCCATCGAATTTTCGTCTATGATTCTCTGGTGGGTCCGTGTGGTCAATATGGTGGAAATCTCGGCGAACAGGTCGGTCATATCAATTCATTTACCACATCTAATGCTGAGATTCTGTCCCAACACCCCAGTCTCGAGCGCATCCGAGATTATCTTGTTATCGATCACGAGCCGGAGATCACGGAGAAAGGAAAGCCACCCGCCTACTGGCCTTCCTCTGGCTCTTTACAGGTGGAAGATCTGTCTGCCAGGTAAGCTGCAGGAGGGATTCTTTGTTGAGCGGTTCTTGACCCGATTTAGGTACTCCAAGGACGGGCCTCTTGTCTTGCAAAATATCACCTTCGAAATCAAGTCTGGCGAGCGTGTCGGCATAGGTACGTTGGTTCGTTTGAGCTTCACGTAGGTTACTCACACCAGTCAGTTGGGCGAACCGGCAGCGGGAAGAGCTCCTTGGCTCTCTCTCTACTACGTCTCATTCCTACTGAGGGGAAAGTCTACTATGACGGTCAACTGACAGAAGGTCTCAATCTTGACGCTCTTCGCAACAATCTTGCTATCATCCCGCAAGAGCCAACCTTGATCTCCGGAACATTACGATTCAACCTGGACCCCTTCTCGCAGCACGACGATGCGGTCTTGAATTATGCCCTCCGGGCAATTGGTCTACTGACTGAAAACGGCGCCGCGGATGGCACAAACTTGACACTAGATAGCACGGTCGCAAATGCTGGCAGCAACTTCTCCGTTGGCCAGCGTCAGTTGATTGCCCTTGCAAGGGCGAGTCTGCGTGGGACAAAAGTGCTCATCTTAGACGAAGCCACGGCATCTGTGGATGCTGAAAGCGATTCGGTAATTCAGACTTCAATCCGTACCGAGCTTCATCATGCGACGCTGATCACCATCGCTCATCGCTTGCTTACTATCATGGACTATGACAAGATCATGGGTAAGTGCTTTCTATGTCCAAAGAGGTGGAATTGCGGACTCATGGTATTCTAGTGTTGGATGCTGGAAAGCTGGTCGAATTCGATTCGCCCATGGCATTACTGCAAAACGAAAAGAGCTACTTCCGTTCCTTAGTAGAGGAAAGCGGCGACAAGGAGAAGCTGATCTCGGTCGCGGAAAGGGGCCGTTCGAGTCTATCAGCATGAAAAGTATATGCCAGTGGAGCTTTCCCTTGTAGGAGTTGAAGCTACAGCGAGTATGATAATCCATTCAATCAGATTGAGCGGAGGAAGACTCCTCAGACCTTGAGGCAGACCGTCCTTTGAGATGCATGCCCTGCGTGGGACGAATGTCCCCAGTGCATGATGCATGCTAGCCAAAAGGACTCAGGCGAGTGTTTCTCTTCTGTCCCTCCTGGCGCTCGCCGGTCACTTGAGGATCGGGCAACTCTTCCAATGTCTTGATGCCAATTGGTAGCGCATGTGTACGGAAGGCTAATCATTCTTTGAGTCGGACCCCCCAGAGAGCTGATGCATATGGTTGCTGAGAATTTTCGATTACGGAGCGATTTTTTCGAAAACCCTCAGGCTTGTCCTCCTGCTATCTTTCCTCCTGTATTCTGGTGTTCTCATGACGGGAGATGACTCATCCTAGCTCCTTGAGCATTTCCCCGTCAACTTCACATGTGTAGTTGCTTCTAATCTGAAGTAATTCGAAGTTGTATCATATGGCATGAATGCGGTTAGTACAATACCGAAACATAGATTTGTTTTAGACATGGCATGTCTGAGCATCAGAGTACGACATTCTTAACTGTGGCGCGACTCTGGCACGATCGACCGTTGCCACGGCCCTCGACCAGAGGAATACATACCAGTGCATCCCCTAGCGACGCGTCCATGTGTGCATCTCAATCTTCCTCCCCGTTCCAGGCACCATCGCCGGTATCTCATAAACATCCAATTCAGAAAGGACATCATTGAGATGATAGGCAAGCCGCCATACGAACGAAACGAAGGCCAGGGGATCTTCTTCTGTGTTCTGATTACAAGAGGATTGGATCGACAGCAAAGCAACATTTCACACCCATAAAGGACCGAGCTCAACACCATTTCTAGACATATAGGATCCAGCACTTCATTCCTCTTGTTCATCTCAAGTCTTCAACCCCAAGTAAGAGTGCACATCAAATGGCACAGCTGGACGCCGTTGAGGCATTTCTTGCCCGCCTGGCAATGCCAGAGGTCGCGTGCTCCTTGAACACGATATGGCTTGATGCGCGTCTCCTTCCCGCATATGCGTCATTGGTCTCGTTTCCAATCCTGTTCACTACCATCGCGTCCTCAACGAGCAACAAGTCATCCACCGAGGCGATAGGTGATACCGCCGTTCCGCAGTCTCTTCGCCAGCGAATCGACGCTTTCATCAAGCAACGAGGAGGATGGTCCATCTACACATTCAATGTCGTACGAACCCTGGCAGCTACGACACTTGTGGGGCTCACGATAGCGGCGATCGTGCTAAGCAGCGAGGAGTGGCATGACGTTGCCCGAGGGACGTCTCAGGTCCCGCTGGGTGGAGGACGGCCATGGGACAAGCTGTGGGATTGTACAGGACGAGCTGAAGTGGGACTCTTAGTTGGCTATGTACGTATCTCTTCCAGAAACCATCTTACAGAATAATGAATGGTACACAGGCATATGCTGCCATACTGGCCCTTTGTGCACTTGTCCTCTCTGGCTCGGCTCGCGCCTCTTGCTCGTTCCACGCTGCTTTGGTGCTGTTCGTTCAATTCCTCGTCTTCGCATGGCGAAACCTTTTACCTCTGGCAGCATTTGAAGGAGTCCCAGCTGATGGCACCATTCCATGGCTTCTGTGGACTCGTGGCTCCTTAGTCACCGTCGTCGGTTGTGTACTCCCCGGCCTCGTACCGCGTGTCTATATCCCGTATGACCCAGTCAACCCCGCTGCCAACCCCGCTCCCGAACAAACAGCATCTCTCATCAGTTTCCTCTTCTGTGGTTTTCTCGAGCCGCTCATATTGATGTCATATCAGCTACCTTCTCTACCGTACGACAAACTCCCTCCTTTGCCTGATACCGACTGGAGCGAGAACCTACGGAAGCGCGCCGTTACAAAGCTCGACCCCATGGTGAGGCGGCAGCTGGGTTTGAAAGAACGACATCTCTTCATCGGCTTGACGGAGATTTTCTTCTGGGACTGGGTGAAAATGGCGGTGGGCCTGATGCTCCAAGTCATTGTAGGCTTCCTTGGACCGATCGGCCTCAACCGTCTCCTGACATATATGGAAAAAGGCGGGGAAGGCGCTACAATTCGGCCGTTTGTTTGGATCAGTTCCATCTTCCTCGCCCCGGTACTGAATGCCCTTCCACTCAATTTATACAACTTTGTAAGCACGCGCATGGCCGTACAGGGCGAGAGCATTCTCGCTCAACTCATCTTCGAGCATGCGCTCAGGGTGAGATCCACGGACGAGACAGCAATTCCTGATTCTTCTTCAACCACACCTGCGACGAATACACCCACTGCTGCAAGTAACATACCAAACGGCACCGAACGGCCCACGCTGAACGAACCGGGAACTGAAACGGACACACTAGTGGACACCGATGGTCGAGAGAGCGAGAATTGCGAAAGCCAGGCATCAACTTCCGCACCATCAGGGACTGAGTCAACCAGGGGTAACAAGCCAATAGACCAGAAGACGACCGCACACCATGATGTGCATCTGTCAGGGAAGATTAACAACCTATTCGGGACGGATATTGGCAACGTTCTTAGTGGACGGGATTTCTTGGTCGTACTCCTCAACTGCCCCTTTGAAGCTATCATGGCCGCCTGGTTTCTCTGGATCGTTCTTGACTGGGCGGCTGTTGTCGGCATGCTCTTCATTGTGGTGACACTTCCCGTACCTGGGATGATCGGCAATATGATGCAAGGTACGCAATCAAGAATGATGCAAAAGAAAGACGTGAGAGCGCAATCCGTCACTGAATGTACGATGACCTCAAACGCCTTCTTTTATGCGCTGATTGCACAAACTAGCGGTCGGGATCATACGAATGATCAAAATGTTCGGCTGGGAAAGTCTTGTGAAACAGCAGCTTGTCGAACGAAGAATGGACGAAGTGCGCTATATCCGGCTGAAGAAGTTACTGAATATTGTGAATATGGAGGTCGGGTGCGTCCAATCGTATGACCACAAGATGGACTGACCTCATATGGATCGCAGCGGGATGCTGCCCATGGTAACGATGATCATTACATACGCCTTCTGGGTGAGCTCTTTGAGCCGTACAGCCTGATGCTGCTACTGATCGAGTGTAGACTCTGGTTCAGAAAAGAGAGTTGGATGGTGACTCGGCTATTTTGTGTTTGCGTGTGTTTTGCTAACGATGGGAAAATGCAGCTGCGAGGGTATTCTCCAGTGTACCCGTGTTCGAGATGTTGAGGGGCGACATGATGACAATGACCATGCTGCTAAGCAACATTGTTGAAGGTGACTCATTGCTTCCAACACGTCTGAGTCGTTTCTCATTATGATGTAGCCAAAGTTTCCCTTGACCGAATCACGGCTTTTCTCCGTTCTGTGTGTACCTCAATCCCACCGTCAGGCACCTTCCAGTTCTGACAAGCTACGGTTCTAGAGTCACCTCTTGGATAAGTGCCAGCAGCAAGCAGATGAAGTCTCGTTCAGCAGGGAGGATCAGCAAGTTGCAGGCGATGTAATCGGGTTTCACAACGCACGCTTTACCTGGGCGGAGCCTTCTGCCGGTGTAGTCGTGTCTGGGCAAAGAGACTTCTGTTTGCATCTAGACCATCTGATCTTCAAAGAAGGTGAACTTAACATCATTGTTGGGTGCGTGGTTAAGACTATTCCTGACACATCATTGACATGAAGAAGGCCGACGGGATGTGGAAAAACCGCCATACTCATGGCACTACTCGGCGAAATGCACTTTGACAAGCAAGGTGTCGAATCCTGGTTTAATCTGCCCCGACAGCACGGGATAGCATACGCCGCGCAAGAGTCATGGGTGCAAAATGACACGATACGCGTAAGCAGCCTGGAATGTTCTGTAGTTCGCCCATTCACATCGATCTTGAAAGGCAAACATTGTTTTTGAAAGTCCCTTTGACCAATCACGCTATGAAAAGGGCATGTTCTATCGATGAGTCAATGATCGGACGCTCAACCTTCCTCGTAGTTCTGTACCAATGTGGTCTGGAATCCGACCTTGCGATGTTCCAGGCGGGAGATGAAACTGAAGTGCTTTCCTCTCTCCAAAACAAAGCCATGTCGCTGATGATACATCCAGGTTGGAGAGCGAGGCCTAACACTTTCCGGTGGCCAAAAGGTAGGTGTACTTTTTCTGTGTTGAGTAGACTATTCACTATGCTCCTTAGGCTCGTATAACACTTGCTCGAGCAGTCTATTCTGGAGCCCAGATACTACTTCTGGACGATGTTCTATCAGCCTTGGATGTGCATACAGCCCGCTGGATTGTTTCGAAATGCTTGCAGGGCGATCTTATTGAAGGTCGTACTGTGATCCTGGTTGTAAGCTCGTTGGATGACCAAAGTTGCTGACGCTTACAAGACTTTCGTAGACGCATGCTGTGACGCTAGTCACTCCAATATCGGACAACGTCATTTCAATGAACGCCCATGGCCAGGTTATCAGTCAGGGCCGTCTCGATGGCAATCTCGAGCTGGACCCGATTCTCAAAGAAGAGCTAGAAGAGAGCAACAAGACTCTGCAGATCATCGACAAATCTGAGGAAGACCAAAATCCCGTCGAGAGCACTCAGGGCGCTGATGGAAAATTGGTTGCCGAAGAGGAAATGACAGAAGGACGGATCAGGTGGGCGACTGGTAAGCTGTTCCTCGCGGGCAGAAACAAGTGGCACGACTGATGCGACCCAGTTCACTTAATGATAGAGGCATACGGAGGTGTTTTCTTCTGGGTTTTCTTGACGCTTGCATACACCATTGCGGTAGGATGCGAGATTGTGTACGGCACGATCCCTTGCGTTGCTTCTGTCGGGCTGATTTCCTGTCATTAGATCTACTTGGTGGCTTGCGCACTGGGCTCAAGCATACGAGCGGAGTACTGGTGACGTGAATGTACCATAGTGAGAGAGACCGAAAGTTGCGCTGAACTCGACTAACAAGCGACAGCTATCTTATCACCTACATCGTGCTATTTCTCCTGCAAGAGACGGCATGGTCTGTTGCTCAAGTTTTCTACACGTTCGCGAGCGCTCGAGCATGTCAATATGTCCATGACGCACTGTGCGAGAGCGTATTCCGCTCCAACCTTCGTTGGATAGATAGCACTCCTGTTGGAAGAATTATCTCGCGCTTTACTGGGGTAACGATTTGTTTCTATGATCTATGTCAACACTAACTAGACGCAGAATTTGTCGGAATTTGATAATGGCCTCACGTCTCTAGCAGAAATAATGGTGCGGACCACTCGTACGTACCCTTTTCTACTGTGTCCTGCAGTCTGAGAAGAGTCATCTAGTTTCGTTGGTCTTGAGGCTGGCGGTCATTCTCTATATGACACCTCTATTTGCCATACCAAGCGCTGTGGTCCTTACGCTTGGCCTGGGTCTCGGACATCTTTACATACACACGCAGATGTCCATAAGAGTAACTCCCTTACTTTTCAAAAAGAGACCCGCTAATACTTCCACCAGCGACTTCGATCAAACTGGCGTTCACCGCTGTTCAATCATCTCAATGCGGCCGTTGCTGGGCTGAGTGCGCCAACATGATTTTTGTTGAATCCTAGTCCTGACCAGTGCTGCAGTTTCTGTGCGGGCATATGGAGCTGAAGATTCCTTCAAGGCAGAATTACGACGACGAGCTGATGCATACTCGCGACCGTCGAGAACCTTTTTCAATTTAGCCAGGCAAGCCCAGTAGTACTTCTGACTGACGTTGATTACTGACAGCCATACTAGGTGGGCGTCCACTAGAACGGACGTACTCAGGGGTTTGTTTGCATCAGGACTTGCTGCTTATTTCTTATACGGAAGGATGGGCATTGGTGCGAGCACTACTGGGGTGAGTTGTTGTGTCACAGGTATTGTGTACATGGCGCTGATTCCTGGTTTTAGTTCAGCGTGCGAACTCTTCACGTTCCTGGGAATACATGACCCTGACCTGCAGCAAACAGCTTGCAGTCGCTATGGAGTTCTCCGGGTCTATTCTAACTTGGGTTCGATATGCCAACATGTTTGAACTTGCAGCCAACAGGTACGTGGCTCCATGCGAGTTGTATCGTGTACTTAAAGTGCTACCCAAGCTTGGAGCGCATTCGAGACTATCTGGTCATTGACCATGAACCAGTTCCGACGGAGCGTGGAAAACCACCCGCATATTGGCCTGCGTCTGGTGCAATACAAGTCCGAAACTTGTCTGCACGGTGCGTTTCAGCAATTGGTTCATTACCCGGGCCTGACGTTTTGCTAGCTATTCGAAGGACGGCCCAACTGTGCTGCATAATGTCTCGGCCGAAATCCGGTCAGGCGAACGTATTGGAATAGGTAACAGTGGCTGGCTGTATGCTACGCATGCGACATATTCTGATTCCAAAATAGTTGGCAGAACTGGAAGCGGAAAGAGCTCTCTGGCCCTAGCCCTTCTGCGCCTGGTCCCGACAGAAGGCGAAGTGCACTTCGACGGTCGACTCACTTCCGATCTTAATCTGGACGCCCTCCGCGCAAACATTGGTATCATCCCTCAAGATCCTACACTGATCTCCGGCACATTAAGACTGAACCTTGATCCATATTCTCAGCACGATGATGCCGCACTATACAGTGCTCTGAAGGCTGCAGGTCTCTTGCCTGCATCAGGTGTGTCAAACAGCACAGATCTAAACCTGGATAGTACAGTGGCGAATGCTGGCAGCAACTTCTCGGTTGGTCAGCGACAGTTGATAGCCCTCGCTCGTGCCATTCTGCGTCGAACACGCGTCCTCATCCTCGATGAAGCGACGGCATCCGTCGACGGCGATACCGATGCGATCATACAGGCATCCATCCGGGACGAACTAAAGCACGCTACCTTGATTACCATCGCACACCGTCTTCTCACGATCATGGACTATGATAAGATAATGGGTACGTTGCACCAATTGTTGCCTGGCGTGATATCAGGTTCACCTTTGCCCATCACAGTATTAGATGGTGGAAAGCTCGTCGAGTTCGACACACCCTGGGCGTTGTTGCAAAACGAAAACGGTTATTTCAGATCCTTGGTTGATGCAAGTGGCGATAAACAACGTGTATTCGCGATAGCTGAGAAAGCCGGGGCATCCGCCGCCGCCCGTTAATACTTTACGGGGTCGGTTGTTCACGATGGAGGTTGCTGTCTTGTGTAGAAAGTAAAGTAGTATGTGCATTGTGAACTGGGAGTCGTCAGGCATTAGGTGGACTTTGGGTCTTGCTAGATGCTGATCTTCATTGATTCTCGCGCCTTGTCGAACTGATGCATGTGAACATTCTGGCTCAACAAATTACAAGATCGAAAGTATTGGGGTATGCACTTGCATCCATTCTTTGCACGATGTGTGCCACTGCCAAAAAGGCGATAAACTATGCGTACAGTGCAGCAGCCCAACAAATAGCCGTACAAAACACATTAGAAAAAAAAGGTAGAGCGAACCTAACAGGAGATGGTGAGAGGAATGCATGTGGAGGAGGTTCGCGAGTAGGGAACGAGGGAAGGCGTCATCAGGCCTTGGAGGCGAAAGAGAAGGGAACTAATAGATATCATTCGTCATACAGGGGATGGCCACTTACGCGGAGCAGGTCTCCGTTGAGGTGACCGAACCATCTTCGTTTGCCAACGTTGGAGTCGGACTTGCGCTTCTTCTATGTTGTAACGGTAGAGAGCCATGCGCTGCCCACGCTCGCGCATGTGACTCACTTCTTTAGGCACTCTCGGAGGGCCTTGTTCTCCGCTTCGCTCTCCCTGAGCATGCGCTCGAGTTCCTCGACTCGGAGCTTGAGAGCGTCGCGCTCCTCTTCGAGAACGGCTTTCTCTTCCATTTTTCGCTGCCGTGACCGACGAGCTGCCATGGTATTCTGCTCACGCTTCGTCATGATTTTGGGGCGGACAAAGCGCGCCAGTTCCTCAGCTTCATCGTCCACATTCTCGTCACCGGCAAGGGCACGCTTGACACCAGCAAGCTTCTCCTCAGAGAGCCGGTTAACGAATGCTTGTGGCAGGACTTTACGCGACGTCTTGGAAGGGGCAATGTAAGCCCGTTCCTGGATGGGCGCATCGAGGGGGAGTAGCTCGCGAACTTTCGGCGGTGCTTTCTGCTTTGACTTCTGCTTCGGTAGAGGCTTGGTCGGACGCGCCAACGGCGTTGTGGTCCGGGAGACCGATGTGGACGCAAGCTCCGGTAATGCTGGCGGCAGTACAGAAGCAGGCGTAGCGGCGACCTCAGTCGATTCAGCCTCGGGAGTATTGAAGTTGATGAGGAGAGCGTCGATAACAGCTGAAAGCTCGGGATCGAGCGCATCGTTCTTGACAGAGGAGAAGAGTTGGGCAGGGTTGATAGCAGGAGAGGACCCAAAGTCCTCAGGTGTGCGAATAGGCGGGAAGCCAAATCCGTCCACATAAGTCGACGAGATAGAAGAAAGCGGAGAGCGCGGTGACGTCACCGGCTCGACTTGCATCGGCGCAGACGTGTGGGTCTGGGCGAAGGTCATGAGGTTTGCCGTCTTGACGGCATCTATTGCTGCTTCACTGACATCGGCGGCGAACAGGCCGTCGTTGACCAGGTCCTCGAACCGAAGCTCGTCGGACGCACGGTTATGCTGGCCGAAGGTGGCCAGGAGGGCCGAGAACTCGTCGTTGAATTCCATTGAGCTCTGGGCAGGCATGTTGTTGAGGGGGATCGAGAGAAGGTTTGTGTAAGAACTAGCGAGGTCTGGGAAAAAGTCTGCTTGTTGTATTGGGTCTTGCTGTAGTTGATGGTCGAAATAGGTTGTGCCAGGGGGTTGAGGAAAGCCATGTTGGGTAATAGTCTGGTTGTAGGAGGGGGGGACGAGCCCGTTTGAAGGTGAGATTATCTCTGCATGATTGGGGGTCGAGGTTGACAAGCCGAGGGCATTGCTGTAGTCATTCTGACTAAAGTCGCCTAATGGGAATGCGGAGGCGCTCAGGCAAGGAGGGTCGAAGTGAACATCCTGATATGTGTATGAGGTAAAGTTGTTGAGCTGGGGTTGTATGGCGGAGGGGGTGGGCGACCTGCTTATAGGAGGTCGCGGACTACGAATGCTAGTCAGCAAGGCGGTTCTAGAAGGTTGCGAGGAATTGAAGACTTTGCACACACGCTGCAATGAGTCGTATATATGCGCTGACTCTTTATGCGTCACCAAGGTCATAGTTGGATGTGTCCTTAGACACTTCCTCTCGGCAAGCGTGATGTGCGACTCTCGCAGTCTTCAACAACTGAACAGCAGACACTCACAGTTTGTCAGGTTTAGAAAGGTACTCGGACTGCTGTATTGCAGGGAAGTACTGTGCACTCGATGAACTCTCACTAAGCTTGTCAACTTGGAGAGTGAGTGCGGTTAGATGGAAAGGGGGAAGAGTTAGGTGAAAATCTGAGTGAAACGGCTGCCCTATATTGCGCACCCATCTGCTCCCGGGCCTGCCCTGAAGCGCATGGGCGATTCCCAACCCTGTGCCCACAAGGGACAGCTGCCACCGCCTTCTTCCCCTTTCCCGCCCATCCCTCGCTCTTTTCCCATCTATCACGGCATACACATGTTCTTCATCATCCATATTATTGTTGTTTTCTATCCCTTGACATGCGTACACCATGCTGTCAATAACTTATTCTTCGCATGATCCACGTTGTACCAAGTCGCCGACTGACGCCCGGGGTCTTCTGCTTCCCGTGCTGTGTGGCACGATCCCGTTTCCCACTCTTTCAACCAATCACAGCCCGCACAGAGCCTGACTCGTCCTGCGTCACCTTCGATCACCGGAAGCGTTTCCCTGTCTGACAGAGCCCCGTACAGCTGGTATCTATGTCACGTGACAATTCGTTGGACGCGATGCAAGTTGCTGATGGACGCGCCAACCTCCTATGAACAATGTTTTTTCGACGGAAAGAGGACAATCCCTATCTGGCAACTTGCTGTTTCTCTATATCTGGATTCTACTGAGTATAACATGCTCTGAAAGCTCCTTCGCTTCATCTTTCCTGCATTCTTCCCACGTTCTGATTATGGGCGCTAAATCATTAAGTCTTCTGCCGCTTCTGTCGGACATCTTCCAGGCATTTGCCGTTGGAGCCGGGGCATTTGTGAGCATCCTTGCTGCGCTTTTGCGCGTCTGTCCATGTCTGGCCTGTCGATGTTGGGGTCTCTGGTATCAGCGACAGACGCTGCTGCTGGAGAATGCACATACCTGGTGGGTAGGAGCAGACAGCAACAGTTACTGCATGTACAGCATAAAGAAATTCTTCGAAGAAATAAGGGCTGGTTGTTGACCGGTTTGCCCACAACACACGAGCACAATGTGATCAGTGAAATAGACACATACGACCTGTATGTCTCTCCAAATTCCTGTCTCAAGTAGGGTTCATGCAACTGGAACATGCACTGAAGGCGACGATTCACCAGCACTACTCTGCCCCACCAGCAGAATGAGGCACCTATGGTCAAGCCGCTACTATTTACCAGCTCTGTTCATCCTCTTAGGCGCTGTCGCATTTCCAGCCTGGCGCTACTATGAGAGGTACGTCAATAACGTCGACCAGCCTCGACGGTGCATAACGCAGTTCCAGCCTCGGCCAGGCGCATATACCTGACCCGCTTTCCTTCTATACCTCTCCCTTCTCCGCCACCTCCAATGCCTCCCGACGGGCTTATGCCACAGCCCTGTACCCCACCTCTTCCTATCTTCCCGGGGCGCTTCTCCTCGGCTGGTCGCTCCATCAGCATGCGATGCTTGCCGCAGACGTTGCGCAACACATGGAACTCCTCTATACCCCTGGAACTCTCGACGAGCGGGAGAAGACATGGCTTGGGGAGGTAGGATGGGACATGAGAGAGGTAGAGTTGATCAAGCCGCCAGAAAGTCGCAAACCAGCAAAAAACTTCCAGGAGCAGTATACCAAGCTGAGGCTGTTCGAGTGCGTCCCTTCTTCTCACTTCAATGCAATCCCCTGACCCACGGCATTCTTAGGATGGAAGAATTCGACCAAATATTCTACCTCGATGCTGATATGCTCGTCGTCCGCCCCTTTCCCGAAATCTGGTCCTTTCCCGTTCCCCTCGCCGCAGCGCGAGACGTACGAAAAGGCTTCGGCTGGTTGCCGACCATCAACGCGGGCACGTTGCTCTTGAAGCCCAATAGGAAGCTGGTGGAGCATATGATGGAGATCGCACCAACGTTGCGATATAATGCTGTTTTCGCGGAGCAGGGTCTCCTGCAGGGTAAGGTCTTGCTCGAGACCATTCTTTACGAGGTCTGATCAGCTGGGATAGCTTACTGGGCACAAGCGATTACCCACCTGCCGTACGTCTACAATGGCCAACTGGGCATCAAGCGCGTCTTCCCGAAGATCTGGCAAACCGTGTTCCAGAACGACGTCAAGATCATCCACTACACCGGCTTGAAGCCCTGGCAGTGGCACGAGGAACCGGATATGCCAGTGGAGAGGTGTGTCTGGTGGGAGATGTGGGAGAAGATGCTCGACTGGCGCCGGGAGAACGGGCTGAGTGATTTGAGTGATATGGCGAGTAAACCAGCTTAAGTTTGTAAGCTTTCTGTCACACCAATCTTCAAAATGAGCATACTTAGTTGGTTGTACAACTACACAACAAGCGTAAAGCTTGCTACCTTTTCTACAACGGTGCTGAGATATCGTAAGGAACAGAGAAAGGGAAGACGACATAGAAGTGAAAAGAGCGTAGACCTTCCGGAGGAGAGCCAGTGAAACAGCGCCTTGGAGCCGTGAGCATACCGGAACTGAAGTTGGGGAAACAGAGAAGAGACAAAGAAAGGATGAAGCGGTGAGGAGGTAAGTTAAGAGGTAGTAGAGAAGAAGAAATGAGTATAGTATCGACCTTGCTGAATCATTTGGCAGCTGCCATATGACGGCGGGCTAGTAGGCCTCTGCCATCAGGCGGTGCTCTTCAACCTGCTCTGGCATCACCATCCCAGTTGCGCAGCCAATAGGCCTTCCCATTGGGAGAGAGAAGCGCTCGACAACTTTCTTTTTGTGAACGCGTAGGTCGATTTCCCTGTCGGAGCCGGTACTGGTAAGAGCTCTGGAGCGCTTCTTCGTGACGGTTGTTTCCTTCGGCGCACTGCGCGGTTCGCCGTACGCTGCAGGTACGACTGGGAGGACAGTTTGGAGCACCTGTACGGAAAGCTGCGCACAGGCGCTAGCCTGCGGCACAACGAGCTCTGGGGGTGTTGGGATAGGGGCTTTTGCCTGGGCAAGCGTACGCGTAAAAACGTCGTTCTTCAAGTTGTTGATGTTCGCTCCGACCCACATTCTCCATCCAAGCGCAACGCCAATGGCACACTCGCACTGAACGAGATCGGGGGCCTCCATGCCGGTGATGCGGGACCAGGCCTTCATGGTGTAGACATTATCACCAAGGAACTTAGAGGCCATGATGAGACAGGATACGAGAGTGCGGCGGGCGCACAAAAGAGGTGATACAGTATAGTTGTTGACAGGGAAGCCGGCGGCAATCACGGTGGCTGCCTTTCTCTTCGTGTCCAGCAGAGTTTGGATAGTTGGATTAAGTGCAATAAGGTAACAGGCGGCAACCTTGAGCTGACTGACACTGATTGCGGTGCGACGAACGAGCTCGGTGATGTATGCGCCCATGGGTATTTCAGCAGTAAGTGACATTCGTTCGATATCGTCTTCCACGTTTTCATCCCCTGCTAACTTCTCAGGTACAATGGATTCGTCCCCAACAAGGGTGTCTTCGTAGCTGCTGCGATCCGCGTCGGAGCAAGGTGAGCTGCCAATCTTCGTGGCCCATTGGGGAGCTGGAAGGTCGGTTTCGCCATTGCACTGAACGTGAACGTCGGCGATCCAAGCTTGGATGGCCTTCTTCTTGGCCAGCGGATCTTGAATCGCCGTCGAAGGATTGGTAACGAGTGCGACATTGTGAGAATCGCTCTTGAAATTCTGACTGTTCGAATGACTGTGCATCAACTCGTCACTTTTAGCAATAGCCTCTCGTTCCTGCTCCGAGCGGGCAACAGCAGTGGTGGACGCATCGTCCTCTCTCTCCCTGGTTTCCTTGCCCTTGCATCCCCAATATGTACCCGGATTGGAAAGATGGTACACCTTTCGAATGACCTTCTCCACTTCTCCTGCGGCTCTTCCTTTAGACCTCTCCCGAATCGCCCATCGGCAGTACTCACCCGTCAAATCTGTTAACGCCTTTGTCTCTTTCTCCCTGCGCTCCTCTTCTTGCTTCTTCTCCTCCAGGTTGGAGGATAAATCCGCCTTCAATCCTTCCGCAAGTGCGGAAGCATCTTGCTCAATACTCGCGGGCAACTTCTCCCTCCCGCGCGCAGACAACCCTCTTTCAATAGGAAACAACGGTGCAGGTACGGCCTCGCATTCTCTATTCGGTGTGGCTGGGACGTCATTAAGATATTGTGAGTTCTGGAAGAACTGAAATGGCTGGATCGGAACGTCTTGGGCGAACTGGAAGGAGTAGAGAGTGCTTGGCCCGGCTGAAAGCTGGTTCATCGTCTTCTCGCTCTCACGGCGGCTAGATCGTATCGAAGCCGCAGTGTGAGCCAGTTAAATAGGGCGCTTGTGGGTTGTTGATGGGGGAAGAAGGAGGGGAGATAAAGGGGGGCAGTGGCGACTCTTGACCCGCCAATACGTCTTGCTTGACACGCTATGACTCGTTGCCCCGCTTTGCTTCCGATGGACCCCCACAGCCACGGAAAGGGCAGTCATGGTGAAATTTAACACAAGCCTCACAACGCCCCTTTTCTCTTCCTCCGGCTAAATGGCCCATCTAGCCAAAGTAGTGTATGACTTGGGTATGTTTTATCCAAAGATCCGATAACGGTCACCCAACGACGTGTCCTGCAAACGTGTGCTAGCGGCACGTTATTGCCGCCGTTACACTCTACTATGATCCGTCGCGCGTCACTCTTTGTTCCCCCTCTCTACGGCAACTATACATAATGGTGATGCATATTGGACTAAGCCCATATCCTACAGGAATCCCTATCTCCAGCCGGGAGAAGGGGCCTCTGCATGACTCGTATTTCACATTTGCCGACGCGTAGCCCAAAGGAGTGATGTCGTGTTCCCCGGACGCCGTCAACGGAAGGCCACAGAGGACCCCTGCAAATGCAGTACATGACTCGGCATCGGCCGATCTCACGGATTTCCGGACTCAGGCTGCGTGCAGTACACTCCAGATATGAGGCTGTTATTTGGGAGCTTCCAACCCATTGCTGAAAAGAAATCAATCAACTGAGTGCTAGACTATTTCACTTGGCCTTACTGCGGGATGAGTAGCTTGGGAATTGCCCTCCGCGGGGTCGATCGAGATCCGCAGATCATGAGACTCTGTCTTCCCCTGGTCTGCTTGTTTGCTCATGCGCCCCTGCCTGGACATGGTCCGTTAAGAAGATCGAGCTCCAACAAGTGAGGGCAAGTGCATGCACCTCTCATGGAAGGAACGTGCATGTACGACTGTTCCTCCGAAGCTCCGAAGGACCGAGTGCCCTGCGGACGGACGACGGCTAGATGCTCGGTGTCGGTCACCATAAAGGTCAACATCAACCCCACCTTCCCCAACTTAATTCTACACCGTCTATCTCCTCAATGGAATGCCTATCCGTCGCCCTCTCGCCGAGCAATCGTAAGCGACTGCGCGCCCTGCGGGGCTCTTGTCCCGCTTGGCCTGCCACCCGGGAAGATCCGTCCGATCAGAATTCCAGAGGCACCGTTTTGCGCAAGACGTGTCTGACGATCTGGGTCGGCCCAATGACTGACGCAGCTTGGCTATGTGTGACTGGTCCGCAGATGTGAATTCTCCGACTGATATCCCCATGGGTTCATCCTCTTGATGTGACTCTAAGTATCGACTCACCTGGGCTAGTATCGTCATCCGAGTCTCCAGTGCCCTTCTTGCGGTTAATCAGCTGATGGGTCTCTCGTGCCCGAATCCAACTTTGACCGTGGGAGGTTTGCACATATGTAGAGCAAGATACGCCCATTCATGTTCCAGAAACACCAGACTCCTGCTTCATATCTTCCTGGCCAGACTCGCCCTCCCCATCTTCCCACTGCCTAAAAATGTCGCACCTTTCTACATCTTTCGTCACGCACACGCAGGAGGTCGGGTGGCATCACGAAATCACACTAGGAAAAACAATATGTAGTATTGGGCAAGCACCTGCCACTCCAAGGTATCACACAGCACAGCTCAAGCCCTCAACCTCCCTCAACCTCCAAAAGGAGGACAAATACAAACACACGCCCACAAGTCTAGGCCAAACGCGCTCAAATCCTGCATACCAATTCCCCATCAAGCATCGCCAGAGCCGCGCCGAGCGCCCAGCCAAGCTCCACCCCGCCAACCTGTTTCTCCGTCCTGACCTTTCTCTCCGGTCCGAATTCGTAACCTAGGCGAAGGAGCGCGTGCTGGAAGGTGAGGTCGAGGCACCATTCTGGTCTTCCCTCGAGTTCGGAGAGCACTTCTTCCCCCAGGTGGCTGAAGTTTTCTGCCCAGGAGGAGGGGCCGGCACAGACACGCTCGGCCAGGTCGGCAAATGTGCTTATGGGGATGGAGCGGACGGAGTCTGCGCTGAGAGGGGGGAGGAGGGGCGTGAGACGGTCGTAGAAGTAGGAGAGGATGAGTATGCCGCCGGTCTGGAACGTATCGAGGATCGAGGGCTGGTACACGCCGTTGAACGCGCAGGGCTTGACATGGCAGATCCTACCAACACGGTTAGACACTATAGCAAAAGTAAAGATGAAGACATACGCATCCTTAGCCATGACAAGTTCCACCACCCTATTGCACCCCTCGAAGCTGCCCACATCCGCACCAAGCATCGTCACGTTAACCTTATCGTTCAGCTCCAGTTCCACAAGCTTCTGCGTCCCCCTAGCCAAGCAAGGGTTTCCCACCAGTTCAAACTCATGCAGTCCCCTTCCTCCCTCTTTTGCAAAGTCCCACATGAACCCAACAAGGTTATGCACGTGCCTGCGGGCCTGCATCGTCCCATAGCCGAGGTACGAGTGCTGGTAGAGGGAGTGTGTGCGGCCAGAGAAGTGCAGGGTGTACTTATGGTCGCCTTCTTCTAGCGCCGAGTCGGGCGTAGGGAACCGAGGCTCGAACACGATTTGGGTCGAGGCGCCCCCGAGGTCGAGCACGGCGTACGTGCTGTGGGAAGCCGTGGCAGAGGAACCGATCGTTCCCAGGAGGTAGTTAGCCGTGATCCACGCATAGACGCCTGTCACACATTAGCCAACGCCTGTGCGGGGGAGGGAGGATGGACCCACCCTCATCCTTCCCATCCATGATCACCACTCCATTATCGATGACCTGGAAAGGGTACTCCCTCAACCTCCTCTCCACAGCCAAAAGGATCTCCTTGCTCTCCTCCACTCCGAGCAGTCTGAGCCCAGCAGTCGCCTTGACCGCAACAGGCGTACAACCCCTCAGTTTCTCCGGGACGACCCTGACCGCCTCCTGCATCAGCCCGTCCAAGCTCTCCGCCGCAGCCTGGGCGTTGGACGCGTACGCGCTCAGACCAGGCCGGGTCTGGACAAACACTTCCCACTCGAGGGCGGGCGAGGACAGGCAGTTATGAAACTTGTACACGTGGATCCTTGACCCTTGGGAGCCGGCATCGAGCATCAGCGCATACTGGACGATAGACTTTCCAGAGACGGGGGAAGAACAGTGCACCGTCCCACTAGGATCGGGGTCGTCTTCGTATGTCTTTGGGCCTGTAGTTTGGGGAGAGGAGGAGGAGGAGGAGGGAAGGGGAAGACCGTCCTCCTCGTCGTATGATATAGGCGGGCGGTCTGGCGGTGGGAGGTCCTCGTATTCCGGTACAGGCACAGGAAGGTAGGAGACGACTTCGTCCGGTTCCGGCATTGAAGGCGGGGTGGGGGGTAAGGGCGAGTCCGGGTAATGTGCTTCTACACAGGTGAGTGAGTGTTGAGTGTCAACCCACCCACCCTCTCTCCCAAGTAACAAAACATACCTTCACCAGCATAATAATCCCACAGTCTCTCCTTCCTCCCCCCTCTCCCCAGCATCCACAGCCCCACACACGCAATGAACGAGAAGAACAGCAGTCGCCGGATCACGCTCGGTGAGCAGAGGGCGCGCCTGTGCTGGGCTGGAAGGGGGAATGAGGGCTCGTCGATCCGAGGGAGGATGTGTGGTCTGCGAGGGGCCATGAGGCTGAGGGAGGGGAGGGCGGTCGTGTGCGCTCTATCGGGGTCGGGGTCGGTGCTGGGAGTTTTGGAATTGGAGGATGAAGGGGTGGGGGAAGACGAGGACGAGGACGAGGATGGGGAGGAGGAGGACGTCGTTCGGGGCATGTAACTTGACTTGGAGACTTGGGCGCGCTGGGAGTTTTCGCTTCCGACAAGTTAGGGTCGAGGCACACGTACCATGATGTACTGGTTACGTGACTGTTGATAAGATATTAGTGGGTGATCGAGTCGAGCAAAGTGATAGTGTTCAATAACTTGAGCTGATAATAAATTTGGTCGGCGATGGAGAGCAGTAAGAGGTTGAGTATAAGAGAGTAATATTCACTCAGCCAAAGCCGCACGAGATACAAATACATGGCTAAACAAGAGATTCGGGGTAAGATTGAAGGTTGCAGATTGAAGATTGACGATTGAAGACTGATCAAGGGCATTTTATGAGCATTGGTGCGTTGGAGCGCTGGGAAAGATGCAACGCGATGCAAGGTTGATGTAAGGTGGAAACGTGGAGGAATGGGAAGCAGAAAAGGATATGTACCAGAAGGGGAATCATGCAAGCAAGAGACAAGAAAGTTGAACGATTCAAGAGATGAAGCGCGAGATCACGCGTGCAGGCAAGCAAAGAGGAAGACATTACGGCGCGGGCAAAGTCAACCCCCCGACAACAAGCTCATACATCTGCTGTCTGAGCCCCTCGTTCTCCCTCCTCAAGTGCTCCACCTCTTCCTGCAATGCGTCCCTCTCCGCACAAACCGTTGCCATCTCGGAGCGTTTCTTCTCCCGACTCCGGCGCTGCGACATTGTATTCTTGAACCGCTTCGAGCCCGCTTTGTCGATCGTCGTGTGCGCAGCAGCGAGGATCTCGGCTTCGAGCGAGGCGCGGGGGGAGGAACGGGGCTTGCGTTTCTTTTCTGAGGCACTGGGGCCTGCGAGAGGTGCAGAAGGGAGGGCCGGGATGGACGCGACGGCAGCGGCTTTGCCCTTCTGCTTCTTCTTGGGCGGTTCGGGTTCTTCCTCGAGCTCGAGGTCAAGTTCGTCCTCCTCCGTGCTCTGGGAAAAGATATCCTTCCCCTGCAGTATCCGCTTCACCCCTTCCCTGAGCCTAGGCTCTACACGCTCGAGGACGTTCGCCTGCGCCTGCTTGCGCGCCGTGAGGGAATCACCTTGGTAGCGGCGGGGCTGAACGGGCGCGTCGTAGGGTATGATCCTGCTTGCAGGGGTGCGGCGGCGTGGGAAGGGGCGGGTGAGGCGCGGAGTGGGAGGGGCTTCGCTCAGCGGGGAGGAGATGGCGGAGATGTCTTGCTGGGGCTGCAGTTCGATTTGAGGCAGCTGCGGGTTGGGCTGGGACAGGCGGGCAGAGGAACGAGTCGTCATCCCCTGGGGGGCGTGCAGGACCATTGGGTCGACAGCGAGGGGGGAGAGGAGGTTGAGGTTGTCCACCACGGTGGGTGACTCGTCAAGAGGGGAGGGGAGGGCGCGTGCGGCGGGGACGGCGGGCAGGGAGGGGAGGCGACCGCCTTCATGAGCTAAATAGGCGTGAGAAGGGCGGGGGGAGGGAAAGATAGGGGTACTAACCGAGGGCGTGGGTGACTGTTCTCTGCCTTTGTGCCACATGGCGGACAGCCGGCGGCGGGGGCAACGATCCCGGCGCCGGGACCTCGCGCTCAAAGAGTTCTTCCAGCTCAGGGTGGAGGAACTGATCGAATACGTCTTGCGTGTTCTGGCTGCATTCCTCGACCTGAGACGAGACGGCCGCTCCGCCCCCTGGGTAGGAGCCAAAGAGCGCCGCGAGGGTCGTCTGGATGAGGGCGGCATCCTGCTCTTCGCTCTGGTTCGCAAGATCGAAAGACGAAGGGGTGAAACGCGGTACGAGGTCGTCGAGTTCAGCGAAGAATGACAATCCGAGGGCGTCTTGAGACTGGGTAGCCTTGGCGAGGAGAGAGCGGTCGCCTGAGAGGTGGAAGGGGGCGACCTCTGGGCCGGGCATGAAGCTCAACCCGGCGGGGGAGATGGCATCCTCCGAGGACGTGCAGCTGCGGTCACTAGATGAGCGTCGTCAGTGAGCAGCATGGGGAGAAGGGGGAGAGTGCTTGCGATATCGGCGAGAGTGCCCACGCTCCGGGGCCTTGGCCGAGGAGGTTGAGCTCTATCGCTGTGTGGTGTGTTTGTTGTATGGGAGCAGTGGGGGATATGGGTACACGAGGGATAGGCAGGGGAGCCATTGATGCTCGTGTATGCTGTGTGTATTGTAGGGAGGAGTATGCTCACGAGTACTAGGATGTCAAACAGAGGATGTTGATGATGATGTGAGTTGTTGGAGAGAGGCGGGCGCTGAGGGCGGGAGGGGCGGGGGAGAGATGTGAGGGCACAGTCATGATTTGAGGCGGGGCTTTATAGCCCGACGGATGGGGGCGGGGAGGGGGAGGGGAGGGTGGTGTTGAATGACCCCCAACGGATCCCCCGCCCTCTGTCCCCCGACATGAGCGGGTATGTTCCAAGGGGCGGGCAGTATGAGAAGAGAGCGGGATCACAACCCATTGGACAGTAGAAAAGAGAGCGGTCGATAACCAACCAAGGCGATGCCGCCCTTTTTGCACTGCGAATCCCGACACACGGACACAAATTATGGCGGCATACCAACACCACTTTCTTTCCTCGTTGTTCGTCGGTCAGGGTCTCCCGCCCTTTGCTTCCGTGAAATAGTACACATGACACAGACACCAGAACCTTGGAAGCTCATTCTCGGCCGTCGTGGAGCGGGCGCGCCTCCCGCCATATGGACCATTTGACATTTCCCGCTTCAACAGTTTGACATTTTGACATTTCGTGCTCAGGGTCGCCCGACGCAAGCTTCTCGCACGACAGCGGGATCAGAGTGCTGCGCAGAAGCGCCGACGGCCGCCGTTGGCCCACGCACGTCCGCTCTACTAGTACTCGTGCCCAATCCCGCCTGGCTAAGGTTCGCTAGTGGTCGTCGTCTACCTCCCGCCTCCCGCCCCCCGCCTCGGCATGGACGCAGTGCAAACCCGCGCCCGCCAGCAACGCACAAGCTGGGGAGAGGGACGACCCCAACGGCCCGCCTGCCAACGAGCAGAACAGGCAATTTACCGCTCTATATCTGTCTTCCAACAACTTCGCGGGCAGTCTTAGGAATGAGAGATCGAAGTCTATTGACACCATACGTCTCCACTACTCCTACTCCTTCCACGCTGCTTCTTACTCAGGCGGTCCCGCCCGATCCCGCCCAACAGGTTTGCTAAACATACCGAACAGCGTTTTCGTCGACGGGGACGCTAACGTCGCCCGTCTCCAGAAGCAGCACGTCATGTATAGAACCCTCAATGCGTAGCGGGCCCGCCAAACGACGCGCACCATCCCGCCTGCGTCCAGAAGCGGTCCGTCATGTACAGAACCCCTTCCCTTTCCTTGAGCTGTGCCCCGCCCAACAACTTGGTGTGATAACATCAGACGACGACGATCCCGCCCTTTTGCTGAGAAGCAGCATACGATCACCCAGAACCCCTTCCTTTCCTTCGGGCCGCGCCATCCTGCCCCACGACCACATACGCATCCTTAATAACAGACAGCGAGCTCCACCCGCCAACCAACGACCCCGATCGCGATCGCGATCCCGACGCCCAACGCCCAACGTCCCCCTGCACAAAAGCGGCATCACGTACAGAATCCTCACATGAACCCCATGCCTTTACACATTCCCGCCCGAGCTTGTGAGATGACAGGACGACAGACGAGCTCCGCCTGGATGACGGCTCTCTCCCGCCCTCGAACTTAGCAACAGGTGCGTATCGACGACCATTGCGCTTGGCACACCCAACCCTCCAGCATCTTTCTTTACCATGAGGTACAGAACCTTCTTATCACCCACCAGCATCCATAGATGCTTGATAATACAATGTTAATCAATGTACAGCGCCTCATGAGCAGCCTAGCAACGGTGCTATTGACGAGCCCGCGTGATCATCGTCCCTGGGCTTCGGGCTTGGGCGGCCCGCCCGTTCTCTGGGGTGGGCAAGCATGGGTGTCAGACAAGCAGATGGTCATCCCCAGGGTCGTCGGCCGCCCAAGCCCCACCCTGCGCACGACACGATACTTTCGCTGCTGACCACCAACCTAACGCGAACGAGGTCTCTCAACATATCCCACAACAGCAGCAAGCGGCCAAACGAATAAATTGTATCTACCCTCTCCAACACAAAGCGACAAACAACAAGCACGAGAGCAAGACCTACAGGCTACAGGTTTAAACAGAGCAACTACATCGCGCGAACCCCTCCCCGTCCTCCTTTCCAGCCCATTCTTCCCTCCATGAATAGGCTGGTATATCGGCGCCGGCCGACGATTTAGTGGTACGTGATGCGGGTAGATCCTGCGATAGTGGAGGGGAGGGAAGTGGCCGGCTCTGGGAGTAGTCGTCTTGATACTGTCGAACGTCGGGCGAACCGAAGCAAGCTATGTACAGGATGGAACGAGGGCGCGAGGTTACCGTACTAAAACAGGCATGTCCGTCGCAGAAGGAATAGTGGTTGTGGTGGAATCGTTCAAGTATCTCTCATTTAGAAATGATGATCGCGCGCGCACGAATTTTGCGTTGCCCAGGTGGAGACGCCGCGCCTGGGCACTGGCCGCTGTGCGTCTTTAGGAGTATAGACCGTCTAGCCTTAGCTTCTAGTCCATCGAAGGCGATGTTTCTTGCCGGGTCGGTGCCCGGCTTCTGCGTGTCCTTCACTTGCGTCCCATGTACTCCCGCAGGACCCGGTTCTCCGCGTTCTTGGTCTGCAGCGCCGTCTCCAACTCGCGGACCTTGTCCTTGAGCTTGGCGACCTCGGCCTCCAGCACCTCCCTCTCCTCGACCTTCCTTGCGCGGCTCCGTTGAGCTGCGAGTCTGTTCTGCTCGCGCTTGGATACCACGCGGGTGGACTTCGGTGCAGGGGCGGAGCCCTCCGCATCCGAATCCACACCGTCCACCTCAGACGCGGTGCGCTTCACACCTGCCACGGGCGCAGGTGCAATAGGACACGGAGGCGCGGGTGCGACGGGGGTCAGCTCCCGCGCCTTGCCCTTGCCGGTGACCTCATTGGACGTATCCATTTCGGGCAGAGCGACAGTAACAGGGACGGGGGAGGCAGGGAAACCGGCAGCTGGGTACTTGAAGCCGGAGAGGAAGGCGAGCTCGGCTTCGGAAAAGCCGCAGGAGGAATTAGAGGATGGGAAGGCGCAAGTGTTGGAGAAAAAGTTGGAGAAATCGAGGTTTTGAGGCGCATACATAGTTGGGAAAGCAAAGTTATCGACGAGTGTTTGCGTGGTAGAAGATAGCGGGGAGGCGGGACAAACGCTCGAGGCGGGTCCGGCCGAGTTCTCGTTCGATGCAGAGTCGGACGGGAACCACGCGGGGACGTTAAGATTCGTCAAATTGGGGAACATTGGGGACGCGTCTTGACCGAGACGCTGCGCGTACTCAGATGCGAGACTCTCAAAGGACTGATTGAAATCGGCAGTTGGCACGCTGTATGCGGGTGCCGGAATACGGGGGACGAGTGAGCCGTCGTTGTTGTTACCAGTGACTGCTGGGGTTTGTGGGGTGTTGATATCGTTGGTGTACTCCATCATGGCGGCATAGGTGGGTGGGGTGTTCCCGACCTCGAAAAGGCCGAGAGAATTGGTTGTGACTGCGGACCGTGAAACATTTGTGATAGAACCGTTTTCGGAGTAAGTATTGACAGGGTTTATGCTGTTGATTGACTGATACGGGGGTGGTGGGTTATCTACTGGCAACTTGGGTGCGAGTTGGACCTCGGGAAGGCCATTGGCTCTTGGGGTGGGGACAGAGGTTTTTGTTAGGGGCTGAATTGCTGCTGAGTAGACCGATCGAGGGGACGACCGGTAACTGCAGAGGGCAGGGCACGTCAGTATGGATATCTTCGGGCCGAGGGCGGGAGCGAAAGGCGCCGTCATCATACGTAGGCCGTGGCCAGGACGCAGCTGGGGTAC